AGTCTTACATCACGAAGTGCATCAAATTAAGTGAGAACCTTGATTAAAAACATGAAAAGATTTAGAAAATATCGGTTGACAACGAGTTGGCGGTGCACATGCTTTGCAAATCCTGCAACTGAAATCTGCATGACAGTTTACAAACCGGATTTCGATTTCGTAGCGCGATTTTTGATTGGACTATATATAGACTCGTTAGTCCAGCCAAATGTAACTCCATAATACCAGCCTAGTTCGGCAAGGGTGGGAACTGGACTTTTATAGTCAGTTAACTCACTTGCCTCGGGAAGATACGAAAAGTGTTCACACGGTATTTTAAGTTTATACCGCCATAAATGCAAAATGTATTGAAGCAAATTCTTATATGGCTGATACCTTAGTGTATGCCAGTTCATATACCATATTCGAAATAATAAGCGCCCCGCTCTAATAAGCGCCCACAGCGATATTTGTTAATATATTGGCTAGTGAACAATCCCAATTAGCACCCCTTCCGATTGATCAGTGTACACAAGACTTATTTATTTGTGTATAATATGTGTGTTATATGCATCCTTATTTGTGGGAAATTAAATTCTGGAAAAATATATCTGTCGTATATAAACATTTCAGGCTGTCGGCATAAACCATTGAATTTACGATCTTTCAACTGTTGGTTTTTCGACAAAATAATATACTAATAAGAGCCCCCTAGCTCTAATTTTGAGAGTGTCCTGGGTGCTTATTATGTTTAATACGGTAATCCTGCATGTACAGTTGTCATGGTCAAGTTTTCAAGCATGTCTTGACCATAGTAATTCAGAATTGGATTAATTGGTAACCCTGTGTTGTTTGTGATAGCTCTCAGCATGTAAACTCCATTAGGGAAGCAAGTGGTGCGAGCATACATGCATTAGTCAATCAGTCACCATCTGATGAACACTGCTGTGTGTAAAGTAATTGCTCAGTGAGAGTGTAATTAAATCACAGTTTAATATTTCAAATAATTATGTTCTTGATATCACTGTAGGATGCTTCCAGGCTACTAAGTGTTGTGTTGATGGCGAACTGGCTTTGAATAGGCAGGGATTTATCTTGCGATCCAAACTAAGTACCTTTGGCATATACATGATATATACTGGGAAAAACTCATATATTTTTGTTCAAATTGGGATTTTTTTAAAATTGGTATTTCTCAATTGAGGAGGTATTTTAAGATTGTATTCAATGCATTAGTGTAAAACTTAGCACAAAAGACTTTTCCTTTATATTTATTGGTCCTTTTAACAGTCAAATACAAGTCAGCTCTACAAAGTTTGTGTGGGTGTTGTTTAACGCCGCATTCAGCAATATTCCAGCTATATGACGGCGGTCTGTAAATAATCGAGTCTGGACCAGACAATCCAGTGATTGACATCATGAGTATCAATCCATGCAATTGGGATACAATGACATGCATCAACCAAGTCAGTGAGCCTGACCACCCGATCCTGTTAGTTGCCTCTTACGACAAGCATAGTTGCCTTTTTTGACAAGCATGGGTTGCTGAAGACCTATTCAAACCCGGATCTTCACGGGTCTCTACAAAGTCATAACATTGGTTATCATTGGTTATCATTGGTTTCCCAAGTATGTGAAGTGGGAAATTTGTAGTTCCAATTTGGGAATTTGTATTGACATTATTTGGAGATTTAGTGACAAATATTGGCTTCTGAGCAGGTGTAGATAAATCACTGACAGATGATTTATCATTGGTTTGAAGAAGCGATGTATTATCCATTAATGATTGTCATAAATGTGAATTGACAAATTGTACCATGAATGATCTATGAAATCCTCAAATTTGATCAAAATTAGTCTCTACATCACAATATAAAGCGAATGTTTGAAAGGGTCAATTGGCACTTGCAGCCAGTTTGATTAAGTCATCAAACCCCACTTCCTACAATGTTTATCAACTTCTGATCATGTACTAGATATTCTAGTTGTACATTTATCAGTTTATGTCTCAGTTTCACAAATGAAACAAAATATACCTGGACTGGAAATGAGCACCAGGGCCAACTTGCACAAAACGATCTTAGCGCTAAGACTATTGTAAGCCTATGTTTAAGTATGGGAGTTACGATCATCTTAGTGCTGAGATCGCTTTGTGCAAGTGGGCCCAGATCATGGGGCATTGTCCCCAGTGGAGTTAACATAGTTTTGCTGTAAATATCTGTTTTGAAAAACACCCATGTATTACCGCCATGCCTCCTTTAATGAGAGACTAGGCTTGGGGCACAGTGTATTGTCCTCCTTTTACATAGGTCAACCTAGCCAAGGACAAACAACCTGGTGATTTGTTAGCCTGGTGGTGAAGGAGCCTACAGATCAGTGTCAGGTTATGTTACTTACAGTGAATTTGGGATGTATATGGGAGGTGTGTGTGTGTGTGGTGGGGCGAGACGTACAGGTTGCCAAATAGTTTAATGTACCGATTGTTTGCATCATTGTTTTTTAAATCCCAGATTTGACCTAATTTTGATGCTTGGTTTGTCAGGACCATAGCCATTCTTGTTTCACTAAAGTGGTCAACATCTGCAACTAATGTCACTTCGGATTTCCTTTCACATGAACTGATGAAGAGATGAAGCTTACATACTGTGAAACACTGTTAAACTCAACTCACTGAAGATGTATCAGTAGAAATCCACTGGCAAGTAAAATCAGTTTTCCCGTTTACCGGTAATTACCAGTTTTTGGACCAGTAATTCATGTGACTACCAGTCCCTGTGGTCGGCTAATAGAGTACCTTATAAATCTTTGTTGTTGAACAAAACATCGGTGATATTCATATAAGTATATTTTGCTAACAAAGTCAGCTTGTCTGTCACCATCAGGGTTCCCCCTTGTCAATAAGAGTGCAAGGAAATAACATTTTGCCTTGCTTCGAGGTTTAATATTTATTTTTAGTGACTTAGTTACCTTATATTTAAAAAAAGGAGAAATTCGTGACTGGACTTTGTGTGAATGACTTGTAGATGTAACTAAGTTACAACAGAGATAACGTCATTGCATTAACCATGATGTTGATGGAATTATACCAGGAAATTTTCATATGTTTTTTTATTTGTTGAAAGTTGGGACTGACAAAAATTAGTGGGGACTGGTAATTTTTAGAGTTGCCAGTCCACCAGGACTGGCAGTTTCAAAAGCCAGGGGGAACACTGGAAATGTATATTTCTTTTGACCTGTCCGGCCAGGTCCTTTGATAAGAGTTGACCTACTTTAGTTGTACTTGTAGGTGTATGTGGAATTCTAGGTCATGTAGACACAATGGTAGACATGTATGGGTAGACCTAGATCTTGCCACAGTAGTACTCAAAACATGGGAACATATTCAGGGTTCACATTTCCAGTGGCACAGTTATACTCTAGTCATAATAACACAGGCCACTTAGTAGAAACAAGTAACTTGTGCCTACAGGAGGCACTTTTATATAATTTTGTTTGTTTAGGTGAAGCCAGTGATAAACATGATAACTGTGGTTGTTCTTTTGCAAGTACCATATTCGACGTAATAAGCGCTCAGGGCGCTCTCAAAATTAAAATACGGGGCTCTTATTAGAATATTATTCTGGTGAAAAAAACAGAGTTGATTGATTGTAAATTTCCTGGTTTATGCTGACAGCTTGGAATGTTTATATACGACAGATATATTTGTCCAGAATTTAATTGCCCATAATTAAGGGTGCATATAACACACGAGTGCGTATTATACACGTATAAATTTAAGTCTTATGTACATTGATCAATCGGAAGGGGTGCTAATTGGGATTGTTCACTTGCCAATATATTAACAAATATCGCCGTGGGCGCTTATTAGAGCGGGGCGCTTATTACGTCGAATATGGTACATGCAAACTGGATAAATACAGAGAAAATTTCCATTTGAACATGCTAAATACATGGTATGATTCTGAGGATTCAGAAAATGAATTCGGTATCTGTCATCAGTGATATCCTCTGGATGGGTTATACCTATAGAAGTTAAAATATTGTACTTTTTGTTACCCAGCTCGGCGTTAAATTGATAACACAAGGACTGGTCGACTCAGAGTTAGTATACTGTGTCTAAGTGGGGTAACCATGTTAAGCTGTGGCAGGATATCTCAGTGGGCTAGCATTATATAACTGGCTAGCATTATATAACTGGCGCTAGCATTATATAACTGGCATTAGTCTGGACTAGTACAAGCAGCCACAGATCTTATTTGCTGATCGAATGCAGGCATCACATCTACATGAATTCTGCTGCAGTGAATAATGCACAAATTGTCAACTGAAACAGCTTTTGAGCAAAATTGTTTTAAATATTGGTTATCATTGGCATATGAATACCTAAAAGAATGGCTCCGAGGGACTAAAATATATTGAATACCACCAGAAATTTATCAGATACCAAATGTGAATGATAACATGTGAGTAGGTACTCAATGGCTCAAAATATTAACTGCATTCCTGGTTTATGATGTTAGGCATTCCTATATCTGGGGGACAGTCGGGTAGCCTAGTGGTTTAAGCATTCGCTCGTCACATCGAAGACCCGGGTTTGATTCCCGACATGGGTACAATGTGTGAAACCTATTTCTGGTCCCCGCCTAATATTGCTGGAATATTGCTAAACCATGCTCGCTCGCTCGCTCGCTCGCTCGCTCACTAACTCACTCACTCACTCACTCACTCACTCACTCACTCACTCATTCACTCTCTCACTCCTATATCTGGCCTTTTCATAGAGTGAATATGTTGTTCCAAATAATCCATTTTATTGACTGGTTTAACTTTCCAAGTTATCTCATGAATTTGATTATTTTCCATTGATATTAGTTCATTTTAATTAATTTTGTTCATGTCTGGGGGATGCTGACAAAGAATGCTCTCTAATTGCATGACTTTTCTATTCTCAATTGATTCTTGAAACCACTTGTGACATTTGTACCCCTTTCTAAGACTTCTTACCTGTCTTGATGTTGCAGTGGGAAAATAACAAGTCCAAAATGGAAGCCGTTTCGAGGCATGCACTTGTCAATAAAGGACAAGATCAGACTGAACAACATCATCTGGAGGGAATGGCACCTGCAGTGTAAGTAGAAGTCCATTTGTGCTGCCCCTACCTCTGGTCCTATATACATGAATTATATGGGCCCCTTACCGAAAGGTAGTATGTTGTCTTTTGGTCAATCTCATTAAAATCAGATCATAGTTCTCGCTATCGTTAAACAAAGATATGAGGACATCCCATTACGGGTCACGTCAGAAAGACCTTTCATCCGACCAATCAAAGCGTCGCTTACCAGATCATGAAAGTGACATTCTGAATGTGTTTTCTAGTCATGCAACCTCGAAAACGTTAACACGGGGTATTCCGAACGACAGTTACGACTGATTCCGTCATAATTATCGTCTATACCTCGCTTCCGTGGGATAAACATTTGAACTGCCATACAATCTCAACCATATATTAGACATTCCGAAATAATCGTTTGTTCAGTTTTCAAAATTTTAATCGAGAACTGTGTCAACATATTTTTCGAGCGTAGTCTGAAATGGAAGTCGCCAGGTTGAAACGAGTGCCGTAAAGCTCGAGAAAGCTTCTTTCTAATTGGCTGATGTTGACTTCTTGTTAGTCATTTCAGTGGTCGGTCAAAGTTCGTGAAAGGTCGTTCTGACGTGACCCGTTATGGGATGTCCTCAGATCTTTGTTTAGCGGCAGCAAGAACTTAGATCAGATTTTAATGAGATCGTCTTTTGGTTGGCATGTTTGTTAGGTTTGACTGACGATGCAATTATATTGTCTTCGTATTCTGGAGCGAAAAAGATTGTTGTGTCGTGTTTTAAAAAGCCCTATTCAAGGTGATTCTTAAAAGTTCAGTAGAGTGATGTGCCAAGAAATTGAACAAGTGGGGACAGGGATGCCTTCAACATGTTCAACATAAAAGTATGAGGTTATTTTCAAAACTTAGGGGCAACACTCTGAGAGATCATATGAAACTTAAGACCCTATATCATGTTATTGATGCAGAATCGCTGTCCTCAAGTAACGTTAGCAATACACTTCTTTCTTATCAACATAGTCCGATCACCCTGAACAGCTTGTAACAGTTTCACTGACGTTAGCAGTCTCTTCATAGTACTCATTCTTAGATTTCCCATGATTTAAACAAAGTTGACTGGTCATAGTATTTGTGTCTGAGTTGTGCTGCAAACTTTTCCATATCTTTAGTATTTGACATTTCCAGTGGGTTGAAAAGGGCCCTTACTTTCTTCATCCTTTCACTCCTGTCCCACAAGCCTTATAAACTTTCTGGACTAAAGCAGATTTTGAAGGCCATATAATATTTCTTCACCAAACTTGGCACATAGATAGGTCTGGTGGTGAACGGGTGTCTTTTGATATCTTTACATTTGACATGCAATCAGTATGACTGGTTGATGTATTCACGATAAGTATTTACCATTCCGAGGGATATTGTTGACTTCGTCCTCTTGTTTATTTCCAAGGGCATGGGTGGCCCAGTAGACAAAGGAGCCCTAATTTGGTGTGCAGAGTTATGTCCCTTAGGCATGCCACAGACTGCAGGAACTGTGATCACAGACCATTTTATGAATGGTTGAATGATAAATGTGAAGTTGTATTTCGCTGTCCATCACTCTGTTTTCAAGTTATCACCGCTGATCTAAAGATCATGATTTTTTCAGCCTAATTGTATTTTATGATTTATCAACATAATTATGTTTTTCAGATGTTTTTCGGAAAATTCCCAATGTTTGCCAGTTTGCGACTCCATTGTCAGACGACATTCACACAAAACCCGAGGTAAGTAATTTCTCCACATATCTTGTCGTCTCGATCATCTCCGTGATGTCAACATCTCAATCTAAAATGCATGATGTCATATTCTGATTTCCACCACTATGCATAATATTTCCCGATGGCTTTCAACATCTATTTGCTTTGCTGAATGTGAGGTATAACTAGAGTTAGCAACAAGGATACAAGTGTTGACATCAGATATATTTGAAATCAGGATCTTGTGAGGAGTTGAGGATCCAGAAGATCCTATTCATGTGCTGTGAATAGGGCTGGGACAGGTAACTCAGGTACCCGGGTCGGGTGGGTACTGAGCAGGACTACCCGGACCCGTGGCTAGTCACGTGATCTATTGTTTAAAGACAAAAATTATCTAGAAGTCTATGGTAACACTACAAGTCACTAATGTTCGCATTTCTTTCTGACTATGCAACTATGCACCCATTCCTTCTGACTTTTCATATGTTTGAATGAAGATATAACTTAAGTCAACTTCAGTGTATGCATGACCAGATCATGAGATACATGTATCTAAATACGTTTTGCAAGTGCTGTGGTAAAAAAATTCCCAATCAGACATTTTGTATCTCTTGGGACCTACAGTGGGTACCCGGGTAGGGTCGGGTAATAGGGGGTAGGGTACCCGGGTAGTAAATTTGAACTCGTTTCAACCCTAGCTGTGAAATAATTCAAAAGGAACAGTGTTGTATGTGTCTGAATATATATACATATCCCGGATGCACATACTCGCATTATTTGAAATAAGTCATGTGTGACACATTGTGCAATGACATATGAACGTCTTTATGCTATGTTTTGTGATAGAGAAAAAATCTGCATATCACTGTTTGCTTTGTAGGAACTTCCCTTGTTATATGTAGCCCTTGATGTAAGTTATATGTTATACATGGTGTTACAAGTAACAATTGGAGGGAAGAAAGTTGACCTTGATGGGGGAAAAGCTTAGCTGGATGTTGAAAAACCCACTTGAGAGAGGAAAGACAGGCTTGAGTGAGATAAAACTGGCTTGAGTGAGATAAAACTGGCTTGAGTAGATAAAACTGGCTTGAGTAGATAAAACTGCCTTGAGTGAGATAAAACTGTCTTGTGTAGATAAAACTGGCTTAAGTGAGATAAAACTGCCTTGAGTAGATAAAACTGGCTTGAGTGAGATAAAACTGGCTTGAGTGAGATAAAACTGGCTTGAGTAGATAAAACTGGCTTGAGTAGATAAAACTGTCTTGTGTAGATAAAACTGGCTTGAGTGAGATAAAACTGGCTTGAGTGAGATAAAACTGGCTTGAGTAGATAAAACTGGCTTGAGTAGATAAAACTGTCTTGTGTAGATAAAACTGGCTTGAGTGAAATAAAACTGGCTTGAGTGATATAAAACTGGCCTGGGTCAGGGATTATCCTGGAGAGTTTTAACTATGAGAGATTTGGGCAAAGAGATTTTTTGGCGTGTGATGAGATTTTGCTAATTTTTCAGAGATATTTCATCTTCACACAGTGGGGAAACTATTTGATTTTTGGTACTTGTGACTCAAATAATGTTGAAAGTAATATTATCAGATTATATGGATATATCCTTGGATATCCTGTTTTCGAACATTAATTATTCCACTGCAAATACATGTTTTTAAAAATATTAGCATTAGCATTAACAAAAAATTACATTCGACTTATATTTCTGTTCATTGTCTACTTTAGGAGAAACTACACTATTATTTATGTATTTCTGTTCATTGTCGACTTAATAGGGAAGTTTTCGCGAGGACAATTATAGATCGTTTAGGAGGCATGTTTACCACCATCAGCTGTTCATTTTGTTGGCATGCAGGAGACAACAATCTGTAGTTATCAAACTCCGACAATGTGTGTTCAAATCTAATATTACTCACTCCACATTTGTCAGCTGATGCAAAACTCCATGCAGTGATGTAGGAATCGGTTATGCACAGTAAGAGATAGCATGCAATGTTGCGAGTATGCAAATCGCTGTTTCGATTGACAACTTTTGACGATTGAATAAACTAGCGTGTAAGTTTTTTAGTGACATTTTTAGGTACCGTAGATAAATTTATTCAGCAATACGACATTTTTTGTTTTTGTAGGTGAAAATGAGAGTGTTAATGCTGATAAAACTATTGAAAGATCTACGTGATTTTCAATCGCGCTGATTGAATGTTGATGCGATATTTACGACAACTATGCGAGAATATCGCAGAATCACGACCTAAGTCAATCCCTGCTGGGTAGGCAAAAATCTCCTGATGGGGAAGAATCTAGTCCAATGTTACTTCTCTGGAAATACCTATTTGTGCAGGGTTGTCCAAGGGAGAGATTTAGCAATTAGCACATTAGCAATATCTGTCAGAAGTAAGTGGTAGTAATAACACACAAGAATATTAACATTGAACTACGCTCAAAGGATACCTTGACATTATGTATTCCGATCTTTAGATTTATATTTATAATTGTGGCTTTACGAAAGAAATTCTGGGATTTAAATTTTTTGAAACAAGATTTTTCAAGCTGACCACTGCATCACTATGTGAATTATTTAGCAATTGGCATGTATATTTCCAGGCTGTTGTCTTGGAGGGCAAGTACTGGAAGAGACGGTTAGACACTGTCACAGCCGAGTACAAGAAATGGAGGCGGTACTTCAAGGAGCGAGTATCTAGGAACCCTCCAGACTCCCAGATGCAAGAGGTACCTAGCTCCCTTCGATGTCCAAGTCATGTCTGCATTAAACATGAAGTGTAGCATCAGTGGCTGAATAGGAAGCAACCCACAAATTTGTTAGCTATGCCTCTTCTTACAAGTGGCTCAACTGTATGAAACAATGTCTTAGCCACGTCTCTGTTCACATTCGTCTTGGGGCGGTCGGGTAGCCTAGTGGTTAAAGCGTTCGCTCGTCGTGCCGAAGACCCGGGTTCGATTCCCGACATGGGTACAATGTGTGAAGCCCATTTGTGGTGTCCCCCTGCCGTGATATTGCTGGAATATTGCTAAAAGCAGCGTAAAACCATACTCACTCACTCACTCACATTCGTCTGATCTGTCAGAATATCTCTAATACCAACAATAATGTACTTTTGATGTGAATTACAGAATTGCAATTTAAAACAATGTTGATTGTCATGATCATGACATTCTGTTGATATTTTCAGTAGATGTTGACAAAGTTACTCGGTATATGTAATATGTTGTCACCAAGTATCTTGTTATGAGAGTGGTGGTTGGGTAGCCTAGTGGTTAAAGCGTTCGCTCGTCACGCCGAAGACCTGGGTTCGATTCCCGACATGGGTACAATGTGTGAAGCCCATTTCTGGTGTCCCCCGCCGTGATATTGCTGGAATATTGCTAAAAGCGGCGTAAAACCATACTCACTCACTCACTCTTGTTATGAGAGGAGACCGCCTCTGTGGTCTAATGGTAGAATGTCCGCCCGGAGAGCGGAAGGTCGGGGGTTCGATCCCCAGCCGCGTCATACCAAAAGACGTTACCAAAACTTGTTGTTTCCCTGTCTGGCGCTCTGCCTTAAGGGGCTAAAACAAGGACTGGTCGAATTGAGTCAGTATACTGTGTCTGAGTGGGGTATTCATGTTAAACTGCGGCATGGTATCTCAGTGTGCTAGCACTATAAATCGGCATCAGTCCGGACTAGTACAAGCAGCCACACACACACACATACATGTGCATGCACGTCGCTATATAAGTGCAATAATCTTGGACGCGACGTTAAACCCCATTTCACCTCACCTCTCCTGTTATGAGAGGAGCTAGTATTTGGTTGGTAATTCATGCCCATATGTAACCTGTGGGCCACATGGCTTTTAATGCAAGTAACCTCATCGCTATTAATGCAAATAGCCACATGGCTTTTAATGCAAGTAACCTCATTGCTATTAATGCAAGTAGTCTATCACAGCTTACTAACAACCTTTAAACAAACTTATTAGCTGATAGTGTGAAAATAGATGACAACAAATGTAAAACATATAACACTGTAGGTTTTGCCTTTCCTTTCTAACCATGCTTACAAAAAAGTTTCTATTTAATTTTTGAATACCGTATTCTACATAATAAGTGCCCAGGGCGCTCTCAAAATTAGAAATACGGGGCTCTTATTAGAATTTTATTTTTGTTGAATTATCGATAATTTCGTGGTTTATGCTAACAGCCTGAAATGTTTATATACGACAGATATATTTTTCCAGAATTTATATTGCCCATAATTAAGGGTGCATATAACACACGAGTGTGTATTATACACGAATGAATTTAAGTCTTATGTACATTGATAAATCGGAAGGGGTGCTAATTGGGATTGTTCACTTGCCAATATATTAGCAAGTATCACCGTGGACGCTTATTAGAGTGGGGTGCTTATTACTTCGAATACGGTATTATCCCTCATCCAAATGTTGTACAGAAATGGACTTATCCTTCAGTCTGTCCATTATTCATTCCATTGTAAAACATTGTATGCACATTAGGCAAGAGCCTAGCTGGTGCCTTTTGTTATTGAGGAAATTTCCAAACATTTAAGTGTTTGCATTATTTGCCAGGACTTTGGTTGAAATGGGAGTACAGTTGTATTAAGAATCTTACTCGTAAACCTTTAAACTTTCTTTGTGCAACTTGGGGTGGTCGGGTAGCCTAGTTGTTAAAGCGTTCGCTCGTCATGCCGAAGACCCGGGTTTGATTCCCGACATGGGTATAATGTGTGAAGCCTATTTCTGGTGTCCCCCGCCATGATATTGCTGAAATATTGCTAAAAGCGGGGTAAAACCATACTCACTCACTTTATGCAACTTTGTTTGACCTGGCTTATTGTGAGTCACCGTACCTTGACAATGTGAATGGTTGCTCATACTATCTATCACTGGTTTGTCAGGCCTAGATTGCATTATTCATGAGATAACTGAAATTGTGTTTCCTGCACTGTCCTACACAATTCACTCATTCACTTATGGGGAAGTGGGGTAGCCTTGTGGTTAAAGCGTTCGCTCATCATGCCGAAGAACTGGTTTGATTCCCCACGTGGGTACAAGGTGTGCTACCCATTTCTGGTGTTCCCCACCTGATGTTGCTGGAATATTGTAAAAAGCAGCATAAAACCATACTCACTCACTCACTCACACAATCCAACTAATAACCCTTAGTGTAGTATGTTTTACTAACCCTGCATGCTTTAACCTTTACTAATATGGATTACAGGATGATGATTTCCCTTGCCAGGTGGCAACTATCGCTGAGTTGCTGGAAAGGGTAAAAGATTCGACAATGATCCCCCGACCGTCTCAACCATCGGCCACTGACTTACTCATCACGAATGATTTTGAGGAGATGGATTTCACAGATAATCTTTTCTCATCACTGAAAGAACCATTTCAGTTTCCCAATCCCCGTGAATTGTGTAAGTGGATAGAAAAATATGTGCATTTCAATTGTAGGAAAAACATCTAGATGTTTAGCTCATGTAACAAATGTGATCTTGGCGGCATTGGCCATTTTGTTTTCTGGAAGGAGGGAAGCCTGGGAAATCTTGGTGGAAAAAAAAAGATGTTCAGAAAAAACATTTTTTTAAATGACAAAACTGAAAAGAATAAATATTTTGCTGGACATGCAGGATGTCCTGAAAAAATGTATATTTAGTTGAAAAAAAAGTTTTTCTCTTTTCATCGAAACATACTGTTTTGAAGCAGTAACTGAATAGATACTCTGCCGCTTAAAAATCCCAGTTCCCAAAGAATATTGTATGGTCAGGAAGGATTACAACATTTGACTGTGACCATAAGATTAATGGTGCCCTTTTTGCAGGCGGAAGTGTTCTGACTGCCTGTAGTTAGTTCATCAGTACAGTAAGATGAAGGAATTTAACTTTTTGTTTTTCTTTCGAGGCAGAGTAAGTCCTCAGAACGCCATCCTCGGATTGGAAACTGGAGGCCACGTTCCCTGTGGATCATTGCTTAGGCAGCCAACCAGTGATTTTCCTGGCCAGACTTGACTATTTATAATAGGCTGCCATGATATGGCTGGAATAATGTTCGGCAGTGTAAAATACCATTCCCTTCACTTCTTCGGTTTTGATGATGTGTTTGGAAAGCCTGTGTGATACTCCATGTACGCATACATCAACATCTATGTTCCTATGCCCTTGTCTATACAGCTCAGCTGGGCTGTGCTGACCTCATCCAGCCTGGGCTGATTCAACTGCAACCCAATCTTGAGGACTTCATGGATGTGGACACAGTGCATGGTGAGTCTACCTTGGACTGTTTTTTGGGGGGGGAATTACAAGATACAGTTAACTATGGTTATAACAAACTCAAAGGGACCTCTAAAATTATTTCGTAATAACCTTAGTTCGTTATAATCATATATACAGCATATATACAACAAATGGCCGGGACTAAAAAATAAGTAGGTTATATCGGTCAGTTCGTTATAAGCGTGTTCGTTATATATAAACGTATTTTACTGTAGATGTGACCATTATCAAGCTTACTTCCAAAGTGGAGAAAATTACGATAATTATGCAAGTCCTTTTCGACGACAATATGACTACGACTGACGTAAGTCACCGTCTGAGTATTGGATTTGAATCATCATAGCACTAATATCGTTTTGTGGAACGGGACCCTAGGCTCTCGATAAGCTGAGTATCTGCGTAATATATGCAAATAAAATTACCTTTACCCAGTTGATTGTGAATTGCTTGCTTCATTACTCAATAGGTACTTTTCGGCTTACGTGCCTGTGTTAAATTCAGGTATTTATTCCTGGTTGAATGCAGGCATCATGTATACATAAACTCTACTGCACTGAATAAAGCCCTGAAACTGAAAATGTCTTGTTATTATCCCCTGCCCAACAAAATTGGTGGGGGATATAGAATCGGGCTCCGTACGTCCGTCCGTCCGTCACGTTTCGTTTCCGGAGCATAACTCAGAAACCGTTCAATATTGTTTCATGAAACTTTGCAGGTCTGTCAGGTACATGCTGAACTGGTGCCTTTTGCTATTTAGAAATTGTTTATTTTTTACGTTTCCATGGCAACAAGATGGACTTAGGTTCCAAACTTACATTCTCTTTCTGATTAAATCCTCCTTGGGGCACTTATTGCATTTTCCTTGCTCAAGAAAATCTATATGACATAGTTGTAACCATTTTCCTTAATAAAAAATGTTACCACACAAAAAACTTCGTTTTTGTATGATATACGACCACCCTTACGGGGCCTCACCCCCAACGGCGCCTCACGCCAGGGGGAGCAACTCTCACCCAAATCACTTTCCTTATGTCATCTGTAAGAGACAGACTGTTGATTTTTCACACAAGACAAAAATAAGAGAAATCTATCGTTCGACAAGAACCATGGCTGACCAAACTGTATGTATGGTACATTTCTTTCATTGCAAAGGCGTAATACCTCGCATTGTGAAGTTATAGAGTTGTAATAATACGCCATGTGAACGGTACCTTTGAATTCAAATGGCCGTAATGGCGTCCATATTGTAGTTCCATGTAATAAAGTTCCATGTAACACCAAGGCCATTAAGAAACGGCTTGGGGTTTTGTTATATCATACAGCATTGGTCTACAATTTTTTCCTTTACAAAACCCAAGATGGTGTGTTAATTCATAAACTACACTTACCTTTTTTTTTACGGGTTTTACACCTTAGCGCGTAACACGCCCCTTTGGTGTTATAATTATACTACACATTGGCTATTAGTATCGCGTTACAAATCGCATTCTACATTACGCCTTTGCTTCTAGTTTCACAATTTATGCACGTATCTTTCCGATCTTTATATCGCACTGATACACGTTGAAAACCTTCCCGCCCACCTCAGAAATTACGGTCTTGTTTACAAGACCTTCAAACTGTGTACGGGTTGTTCTAAGACAGGCACGAACGCTGCCTAATATGTCTGGCGGAGGACATTGCCTTTACCCCCCGGGGCCCCCCAAAAGAGACAAGTTGACTTGTTCCACTTTAAAGAGGTCTATTAAAGGCGGGGGTAGATATCATATCTACTAAGACATCCCCCCCCTCCCCATCTAAAAAGGGTGAAAAAGCTGCCGAGATTGTCTCCCCCGCTCTCTCTCCGGGGGCCGGGGGAGAAGACTCGAGGGTCCCCGTAGTATGCACTGCACCCTCTCCTGCACTGTCTTTGGCAGACTTTTCTGCGTTACTTAAGTCGCAGATGGCGTCGATGATGGAGGAGGTAAAGTCTCAGCTCCGAGAGGAGATGCGGACCGAGCCTTCCCTGTTGTCGGCGCCGGACGCGGCTTCGAGACCTTGTGATATGCCCGGCGTCGGCCGAGGCAGGCCACTTGGTCTCGGGGACGATCTCAGACCGGGCTTCGGCGCCGGCTCGAGGTCGCTCCCCAGCGGAGGGGTGGCGGGCGCCGGCCCGTGCACTACCGACGCACAATTTTTCCCTAGCGGAGCCAGACGCCTCTTCCGAGGCCGAGGCTTCCACTAGTGGATACCTAGCCCGGAGCCAGGTTGGTTCCCTTTGTCTCGGGGACGATCCGAGACCGAGCTTCGGCTCCGGCTCGAGGTCGCTCCCCAGCGTAGTGGTGGCGGGCACCGGCCCGTGCACTACCGACGCACAATTTTCCCTAGCGGAGCCAGACGCCTCTTCCGAGGCCGAGGCTTCCACTAGTGGATACCTAGCCCGGAGCCAGGTTGGTTCCCTTTGTCTCGGGGACGATCCGAGACCGAGCTTCGGCTCTGGCTCTAGGTCGCTCCCCAGCGAAGGGGTGGCGAGCGCCGGCCCGTGCACTACCGACGCACAATTTTCCCTAGCGGAGCCAGACGCCTCTTCCGAGGCCAAGGCTTTCACTAGTGGATACCTAGCCCAGTGCCAGGTGGGTTCCCTTGAACCTCCGGCACCTCGGCACCGGGACTCGGCCTCGGGCCGGGTGCAGAAACACGTGCGGGACAGGATTGTCCAGGTACTGCCTCAGGTGGCTGCGCCCATGCCAGAGTCGGAGACACCCAACTTGAATAAGGTCAAGCAGGGCCGGCGGTTGCCCCCCCTTTCCCGTGTGCGGTGCGGAGTTGAAGGCTGCTTACATATGCTTCGAGGAGCAATATCATAATTAATGCCAACAGCTCCGTGTGTCCGTACACTCCGCGTATCTGTCGGCTGTACAGAGGGAGTTAGCGGGAGAGGGGCCGGCCGACTCTTCGGAGTTGGCCGCGCAACTAACGGAAGTTCAGTTATCTTGCGCGGGACGCTATTCGTAGCTGTGCCTCGCAGATGATGTGCGCTGTTATGGGCATGCGCAGGCGGTGGATGTCGGTATCTAAATACTCGACTTACACACGCCAAGACCTACTTGCTTTGCCGTATAAGAGGGTGCCACCCTCTTCCCTGGGGCTCAGCAGGTGGTCCGAGAGGCTGCTCAATTGTATACTTCCATCAAAGACTCATAAGGCCTTGTTGGAGGTACCAAGCGTTAAAACCGCGTAAGCGGGCCTCTCCAATTGTCCCCTCCTACGCTAACGCACGGGTCAGACGTCCACACCTGCTTGGAAGCCGCCGCTTCCTTCAGGTATAAGGGCGCCGGGAGGAGCAAGAGAGGCACGGGCCGGGGCAAGGCAGCTGGTCGAGGCCAACAGCTTTTTCGCGGGGCTGGGAACGATGGGTTCCCATTAGCGCCCGAAGAGCCCCGGGTGAACCCACAGTCGCAAGTTATCGAACTGCAGACAGCCGGTGTCCACTGCCTCCAGCCGGATGTCCCCGTAGGCGGCCGACTGGCTCTATTCCTGAAGGAATGGGAGACAGTTACATCACAATCCCCGGACCCCGTCCATTTTAAGGGATGGCCATTTGCCTCAGTGGAAAACTCATCCGCTCCTCCACTTTTCCGGGATAAAGCACACTCCGGTGCCTGCTACCCGAGAGAAGGCGGAATTCCTCCGTGCCGAGGTCGACGCACTTCTTATGAAAGCTGCGATCGAACCGGGTCCCGAGGGACAGGAAAGCGAGGGCTTCTACTCGACTTGTTTCCTAGTCACCAAACAGTGATCTCAACTGTCGAGACAGGAGAATGGCTAACGTCAATAGACTTAAAATACGCCTATCTCCACATACCAATACACCCCGAGTTCAAGAAATACCTGAGGTTTTCTTTCGACGGGAGGTGTTATCAGTTCAGGGTTCTACCATTCGGGATCTCCACGGCCCCGAGGGTGTTCACCAAGCTGATGTTGATTCCCGCCCAAGTGGCCAGGTCAAAAGGTCGATTCTGCCATCCGTACCCCGACGACTGGTTACTAAGAGCTCTATTGCAATCCCTGAGTCAGATAGCTACACAACAAGTGATAGATATTCTGATCACTCTAGGGTGGATGGTCAATCTCAAGAAGTCAGATCTGAGCCCCACTCAGAATCTAGTCTTCCTAGTGGCTAATTTCAACACGGTGAGAGGACGTGTATCTCTGTCACAAGATATCAAGTCCCTTAAGCGCAAGTCACACTGCTCGTACATGGCTCCAGTTACTGGACAACATGGCGGCGACAGTGGATTTGGTCTGGCGGGAGCGCTTGAGAATGAGTCCCATTCAACAAGCACTCCGTCGACTTTGGGCGAACTCGGAAGATCTCGAGACTGTGCTCGAGACTCCGTAGTGGCTCATTACACACCTCCAGGGACCGAGGTCGGGAATCACCCCCGTTCCGTCTCTCACAGTTCAAACAGACGCGTCACTCTCCGGCTGGGGAGGCGTTCTGAATGATCACACTGCCTCGGGACTATGGTCCCAGCAGGAGATCAAACTGCATATCAATGTGCTAGAACTGAGAGCGGTCAGGTTGGTGTTCCAACGCTTCCCGGATCTGCTTCGTGGCCAAGTGGTTCGTCTAGAGATGGACAACCAAACGGCGATGACTTACATCCGGAAGCAGGGGGGAACGGCGTCTCCGTCGCTTCGACGAAAGACGTGGCAGTTCCTACTATAGTGCGACTCTCACGATATCAGGGTGCTACCTGTTTATCTCCCGGGGGTGGACAACGTCCGTGCGGACGCTCTGTCTTGCCGGATCCTCGCTCCTCACGAGTGGAGGCTCGACCCGGGGATATTCGGGATTTTCTCCCTGTTATACAGGTCGTTACAGGTGGATCTGTTTGCGTCTGGGTTAAATAACCTGACACCAAGGTCCAGTCTCAGCTAGGCACTCAGCCTGCGCGACTAATTGTGCTCCTGGCACCTCTTTAGTCGGCGCAGAGTGGGTTTCCAGTAATACTCAGGTTTCTGGCTCAGCCTCCTGTTATATTACCTTTACGACCGGACCTCCTATCCCAGAACGGGGCCCTCCACCCGAATCTCAGGATTCAATGGGTGGGTTGGCCACTGTCAGGAATCGCCTCCAGAAGAGCGGTATTCCTGCACGAGTTGCAGACACAATACTGGCTTCGCGGAGGGATTCGACAAACGTTCAGTACGATAGATAGGCCTGCTATGCGCCCTGGTGTGTCGATAGAGGGATTGCAGATCTTTTTTCTGCAGATCTCGTATCCGTGCTTGAGTTTCTCCAGTCGCGACTAGATGACGGCCTGGCCGCATCAACAGTCCGAGGGTACTCTACAGCTATCGCAGCTTTTCACGTCCCTGTCGACGGGGCACTTCTGGGTGCACACCCATTAGTGCAGCGCTTTTTAGCAGGTGTGGACAGGATCCGACCGCCAGTAAAAAAAGGATCAGTCCCCCTTGGGACTTGTCAATCATTCTCGATTGGTTGTCCGGTACTTCCTTTCGGGATCGGTCGTCTCTCTCTCTTCAGCTGTTGAGCTGGGAGACGGCGTTCCTTGTGGTGGTAACGTCCGGCAGACGGGTAGGCGACATTCGTGTTATGTCAGCCGATCCCAAAATAACTGTCTTCCATGGGGTCGATAAATATCACCGGGACAGTCAGTTTTCGTCTACCGGACTATTACCGTCCTAGGGTCGCACACGATTCCACGTGAACGGCTCCTATTGAGCTACCTGCTCTATCACAGCCTTCCTCGTCGGGGACCACTGCAAGACATGCTCATGTCTTGGATGTCCGCACGACTATCAAGGCCTATATCAGCAGAAATATGGGTGTCCGTAAGGATAACCAACTATTTTGCTGTTTCTGCGGTAGGAAGGTTGGCTCACCTGCGAGTAAACAATCTATCTCGAGGTGGATAGTTTCAACCATTTGTACAGCGTATACGCTTACAGGCAGGGACCCCCCTACCAGGTTGAAGGCTCATTAGGTTAGAGCAGTGGCTGCGTCAAAAGCGTACGCCGCGGCTCTGCCCATTGAGCAGATCTGCTCCGCGGCTATTTGGAGCCAGCCGAATCAAACCTTACCAACTCGACAAACACTCAAGCTAGCGTACTCGGTTTGGTCAGTCAGTTCTCCGAATTGGGCAAAGTTCTAATCTCTAGCTGATTGAGCATTCGAGATTTTAGACAGTCTTCCGGTTATACTGCTCAGTAATGGTCCGGATTTTATCTTCTGCGGTCGATAAATATCAGTCCTTACTACTCGATAATACTCGTATTTTGCGCACGCACTCCTTCGATCCTCGGGAACCCTCTGGCCTAGCTCAGCGCTGGTTATGGTCTCTCGTGATCTACGCCCTTATATCACTTGTTCAAAAAAGTGTGGGGGGGTGGGAGGTGTTTCGAGTTCTCAACTTATGACAAGCCGCAAAAACAGGCTTTATCATAATATATGGTCGACCACGCCCTGTCTCTAGCCCCCGCCTTTCGACGGTGGTGCCTCACGATAAGGTTGGTTCCATTTATTGAACTCAATATTTTATTCTGTTGAATAATCAAATACGATGTATTTATTTACGCCTGTTGCTTACGGATGCCACTTCCTAGATTATCTTTGGGAGTCTGTCTTGATGCAATAAGTGCCCCAAGGAGGATTTAATCAGAAAGAGAATTTTACAAACCTGTAGAGGTTATGAATTCTCTGATGAAATCCTCCTTGGGGCACGGCCACCCACCTCCCCACATTCCGTCAGCATTTGACATATGGAAAGTGATTTGGGTGAGAGTTGCTCCCCCTGGCGTGAGGCGCCGTTGGGGGTGAGGCCCCGTAAGGGTGGTCGTATATCATACAAAAACGAAGTTTTTTGTGTGGTAACATTTTTTATTAAGGAAAATGGTTACAACTATGTCATATAGATTTTCTTGAGCAAGGAAAATGCAATAAGTGCCCCAAGGAGGATTTCATCAGAGAATTCATAACCTCTACAGGTTTGTAAATTTTTTTACAATTTCCCTGACAAGTTCCCCCTCGGTTAAAAAAGGTTAGGGTTAGTTTAGATTTTATTATGTCATAAATTCCGCAACAGGGGCAGGGGATATAGCCACGTTAGTGGCAAACTCTTGTTGTAACTCAAACATATATCGCTGAGACAAATGCAAATTAGAAAGCCATGGACTGCATTTCAAGGCAAATTGTTTTAAAAATGTCATCTGATTGGTTGTAAATACCCAATGAACTGGACCCAAGGGGGAAAGAAAATATTGAATAGCCGAAGAAAAATATGGCTACCCACTGAGAATGATTACATGTGAGTAAATACTCAATGAATTTTCTAGAGGACTGGAATGTATTTTCAGACATGATTATGAACTCCTCTCGGACCCAGATGACAAACTTCCTGTCTGGATCAACTGGCTCACTGGACATCCTGCCCACAGGGTCTGCAATCCAGGTAGGTTGGGAGATTCATTACAAATACATGAATACTCCTCCCGTGGTGATTCCAGGTATAAATAGGTCCACAGCAACCTCTGGTGGTCCAAGAGATGAGGGGGCACGGGTGGCCCAGTCGTCTAAGGCGCTGCGATTCGCTGTGCAGAGTTGCGTCCCTTCGGCACTCCAGATACCTATGATTGTGGGTTCGAATCCCGATTCTCCCCAATTATGTTTCTAGGTTTGTCAGCACCATACCCGTGCTCGTGGGTTTCACCGAAGTGGTAAACGTCTGAGACCTGCATCACTTTGGGCTTTCCTCCCACATTAAGTTGACATGCCGTGATATAACTGGAATAGTGTTCAAAGTGGCGTTAAACCCAACTCACTCACTCACTCTAAGAGATGACCAAGTTTTCCGGGTGGGCAGCAGGATCAGTGACTTGGTTGATGGCATGTCATTGTACCCCGATGACGTACATTGTTGCTGACATTATCCATCACTGGATTGTCTGGTCCAGATTCAATGATTTACAAGCCATCGTCATATAGCTGGAATACTGCTGAGTGCGGCTTTAAACAGTAAACAGATAATTTACTGATTAGCAATAGAGTTTTAATTCTTTACATTGAGAATCCACTAACTATGATTTGTATGATAAGATAAGGACTATCAGTATTAACCGAAAACCGAAGTATTATGAATAAAAAAATAGAAAGAATAATAATAAGAAGAAGTCCATTTATGATGCACCAAATTCCAACAAATGAATACTCACGGCGCTACACTATTAGTTGTATGGATCAGTATGCACTCAGATTTTATTATCAGAATATGAACAAGTTACCATATCCTACCGGGTACCCATTCACTGCTGTGTGAACAAGGGGTAGGGTGGCCCAGTCAACTAAAGTGCCGCGATTCGCTGGGCAGAGTTGCACCCCTTAGACAAGCCAGAAACCGATGATTGTGGGTTAGAATCCCTATTTGCCCCGATTATATTTCTAGGTTTGTCAGCATCATACCCGTGCTCGTGGGTTTCACCGAAGTGGTAAACATCTCTCAATTCGGGCTTTCCTCCCACATTAACTCTTTCAACACCGTAGGCCGGTTATCCGGCCAAGAAGCATCGAGTCCCCAGACACCGCAGGCCGGTTATCCGGCCAAGCCGTAGTCACGTCAAAATAGTATATATTTTTATGGACCTACCTGTAATGTCATTCATTTATTAAATCTATCACATTTCACAATGTCTGAAATACATATTCCATTTCAATTTAACATTTTTTATCGTTAAATTAAAAAATTATTCACTATTTCTCGCGATGTTATTGAAAATAAAATTCTCGGACACACATTTCAACAACGGGTCCACATCGAACACGTCAAAGAGGAAAATAAAGACGTTTTAAACAAATCTTTAAATATATTATACAAAGTAATAAATAAAATCAACAAAAATATATCTAAAAGTAATCAAACTTACATCTAAGTTATTATTTCCATCTTTTCGTGCGATCGCGTGTAATGTAAGTCAAATGACATCTCGGCTTTCGTCGCCTTGAATTCTCGGCTCGGACACGATGTTTAATGCAAAAATATATGCATGAAAAATCTTTGTCACAGCTCGTAACCTAGCACGATACATTCACGAAGTTCCATATTTTTAATATATATCGTGATTTCCTGCTCAAAACGTTCAGAATAACACGATTTAACAAAATTCTTTCGCAAACTTCTGTAATTTATCGAACACGAGCTTGGTATCACAGCTGTAATTTGATTGGCTGCCTTAGGTCACGTGCTCAAAATTGACCAATCACGAAACTTGTAGCAGATTTCAGCAAGAAAGCGTCATTAGAAACCAATTTTAATCCAATGAAATCGCTTGTTATAACTACGAAAAAAAACCAGTCGATGCTACGAGCGTGTAGATGAAGGAATAAGCTTTCCAGCGATGTGTCACATGCCATTCTTCGACGAACGTGTTATTCATACGAAACCTAGAAAACGGGGGTATTTCTTCATTTTACTGAGCGGACAGTCGCTGTTATCGGGAAATGGGTGATGACAGAAACTATTTATAATTCTTTTTAAAATGATTTTCCAATCACGTAAACAATGAAAATAAAACAGAAATAGGTACGTGGATATTATGAAATCATATATTTGCCGAAAATCGTCATTTTTTTTCTTCCTTGGTCCTTAATCTGGATGTTAACAACGTGTTAGCGTACATTTTTTATTTACAACGAATTTAATTAAGTTGTAAATGCATTATTTTAAATAATTTGAAAATATAACTTTCATATTTATAAACCATAGGATCAGACCTTTCAAATGGTGTATAACATGTAGTAGCAAATATATTTTACAAGCAGGTATTTTCTTTGATAAATGTTGGCTTCATCTATCACCCAAGAGTCTCTGGGAACTCGGTGTCCCAGCAGTAAACACTTCTGGTTGACTGGTGTTGAAAGAGTTAAGCTGACCCGTCGTGATGTAACTGGAATACTGTTAAAAGCGGCATTCAATCCAACTCACTCATTGTGTGAACAAGGGGCGGTCGGGTAGCCTAGTTGTTAAAGCGTACGCTCGTCACACCGAACACCCGGGTTCGATTTCCATTGGGTACAATGTGTGAAGCCAATTTCTGGTGTCCCCCGCCGTGATATTGCTGGAATATTGCTAAAAGCGGCGTTAAACCATACTCACTCACTGACTAACTCACTGTGTGAACAGAGGCATAGATGTTTGTTGTTCATTTCAGTCCAGCAACTCGGACCCGATGCAGACTAGTATGACAGTGGAGCAACAACTGGCAGCCCTGCAGCAGCAATCTTACTCCGACCCATCAGGGGTCCTGGATTACCAGTTGTCTCAGGCCCTTTGCAACACAGGGTCATTTGGCCAGCACAGCAGTGCAGGGATGGGTCAGTCAGGCCTCATTGTTGATCTACAGACCGACCAGTTTGGACAGAACACCAACTTTATGGAGTGTAGTGTCATGAACAAACCTAGTGTGAAGGCTCAGCCTATGATGGAGCAGTCCTCGACTCGTCGTGTGGCACAGGTGTTACCGACTGCTAATATTGTTCCCACTTCGGTGGCGTCATCACGAGATTCACCGAGAAAGGCAGATGATACTGTGCCGCGTATTGCTACCAAGCCTCAAGCAAGTGGGGTTGGAGGAGGGTTTGTGCAGCAGAATTTTTTGCCACAGAAAAAAGATGGTTTTGTTATACCAAAGGTGAGTGTTGTGTGAACTTTGTGTTAGAATTACTGTAAATCATGATATTTATGGAAGGATAAAATAATGTGAAAAATACTAGTGTCCCTTGCTTGCATTATAACGTGGAACGTTTTTGTCTTGACATATTGGAGTTTATTGTCGTATCAGGTTCACTAATGGGTGGAAACAATGGCATACATAACAAAGCTCACAATAAACAATATAATTGAGCATTAGTTTGAGTGCTTCACACCAAGTTCAGTGTTAAGGGTGGTCAGCTATTTTACACATCAAACATTTATGACGGTCACCAACGGTGTAGGACAGTGTCATTCTTCTTTGTAACCTTGTCCAATAATCATATGATTACAAACAAAACAGTGTGCGCCCCCAAAGTAAACATGTCCAGTAATCACATGTGATAGATTAACTATCAGGTGTTCTTGAACTTCTTTTGGTTTGACAAAAATGATGGTTGTTATTTCAGGGATTTTATTAGATCCCGTGTTTAAGACTAGGGGTGTCCTGGGGTCCTTAAGGAATACTGCTGTACTAAAGGAATTAGGGACTGTTTAGTATATATTTTTGTTTCATATAACCAGTCACTTGGCTTTAATGCTTAATTTTGAACACTGGGGTCTATTGTAGAACAATTTGCATCAATTGTGAAAATGATGATGATGATGATGATGATGATTTTTTTCAGGGAAAGCCGGTTCAGACACCACGGAAGAACAGAATCATTGCTCCCGCCCCACCTATTAGTTCATCGCCGCCCTCATCGTCCCCCTCAGTGCACAGTACATACCTCGCCCAACTACTCACTAAAGGTAATTTCTGTTATGGCTTGCTTAAGTCATCTTTTCCGAGGCAAGAGAGTTAACTGACTTTAAAAGTCCAGTTTCCACCCTTGCCAAACTAGGCTGGAAATCCTGGGCTCGATCGTAGCGCCACCAGTGGCTACTACGAGTTATGTCCTTTCTATGCCTCTCCTATTGACGAATCAGATTCCACCTCTAGTACCACTTGCATTTGTTTTAACAAAACGGTGGCGCCCAGTCAAGACGATCAGATCGATAATCAAGATCTATATTGTGATAAAACGAGTCTTGTATCGCGAAGTGCATCAAATCACGTGAGCACCTTGATTAAAAACATGAAAAGATTTAGAAAATATCTGTTGACAACGAGTTGGCGGTGCACATGCTTTGCAAATCCTGCAGTCGACCGAAATCTGCATGACACTCTACGAACCGGATTTCGATTTCGGTGCACGATTTTGATTGGACTATGCATAGACTCGTTAGCCCAGCCAAAATGTAACTCCATAATACCAGCCTAGTTCGGCAAGGGTGGAAACTGGACTTTTATAAGTCAGTTAACTCACTTCCCTCGGGAAGATGGCTCAAGTTTGCAAAATGAAAAGTGTTACTTGGGTTTACACACCTATAAACATTATGTCAGTTTTATCTGTGTGCAATCTTAATGTGGGATGAAAGCCCAAAGTGTTCCAGATCATAGACACTTCCCTGTTTCTGTGGTGGGTGGGTGGATATTCCCTCTTTCGGCCAACCAGTCCTTGTTTTATCTCCTTTTGCCAAGTGCCAGGCAGGGTAACAACAAGTACCATAGCTTAAAGTCTGTTGGTATAACCCAGCCAGGTAATTGTACCACCGACCTTCCGATCAAGCTACGACACCACAGAGACAATCTGATATAATGTTGATGATACTGCATCCTTTTTATAGTTTTATAAGCTCAATTCAATTATACTTTCAGCATGTTGTGTGTGAGTGCCTGTTCTGAAGCTTGTACCATTTGTTCGTGAATTAGATTTGTTATGTTCCTGCAAGTTTCACAGAATATCAACTTTTTGTCACCTTAACCAGGGATAGCTGGACAACCATTTGTCTTGAAGCAGACGTTCACTTCGCGTTGAACTGTCAGTTGTAGGAGTTTTGAGAATGGGGTTCAACGACGTGTCGTTTTTGTCACTGACAGCTGGTGTTGCATTTGTACACTTATGCCTACTCTCTTTCCCACTATTTGCATTAGAAAAAAAAAAAAAAAAAATTTAACAGAGTCTTGAAATGCCTTGTCTGACTAGTGTCCTTCTCTGCAGATGAGGCCCGTGAAGATACAGGGTAGAATAGGTCTTCAGCAACCCATGCTTGCCGTAAAAGGCGACTATGCTTGTCGTAAGAGGCAACTAATGGGATTGGGTGGTCAGGCTCGCTGTCTTGGTTGATGCATGTCAATGTATCCCAATTGCGTGGATCAATGCTCATGTTGTCAATCAATGGATTGTCTGGTCCAGACTCGATTATTTACAGACCGCCGTCATATAGCTGGAATATTGCTGAGTGCGGCGTTAAACAACAAACAAACAGATGACCACTACTGGGCCATTTAGTAGCCTTGCAGAAGACATTTGTTATGACAGAAATATAGGTCAATCTAAATTTCGATTACAGAAATTATAACCAATCAAGTACAAGCTCTTATACCACTGTATAATGATAGTAGGCCAAATGAGTCACATGTCCCAAATGTAAACGATAGATACTGACTGACAAATACACTAACCAGTGAAAACATTTCGTCAGAAACTGCATATGCCAATAAGTTTATATTTTTCCTTTTGAAAATGATTCTAAATCTGGGAAAAGACTGATGAATTATAATGCGGATGAAAGGGCAATATCTTCACAGTAAACATACCCGCCCCGAAGCCACATGTATTAGAAAGTAAAGAAATAATAGCTGTAATGTGACACTGTGAAATGAATGCTGTATCATTGTCCTGCTGTTCCCTGCAGGAACCTACCCAGGTGCAATAATCACCAGTGTAAAGAAGGAGCCTGTGTCAGGGCAGATCACCACCACCACCACCACATCGTCCAGTACCACCACATACCAACCCATCCGCCCTGCTGATCCCACACGGGCCAACATTAAACAGCCATCCAGTCCATCGCCCGGCAGTCCCGCAGTGGCAGTCGGCTCCTTATCACCAGCACACAGTCCGTCACCTGGACTACCTATAGATCTTACAAAGGTAAGCCTAACAGTCCGTCACCAGGACTACCTATAGATCTTACAAAGGTAAGCCTCACAGTCGGTCACAGGACTACCTATAGATCTTACAAAGGTAAGCCTCACAGTCGGTCACCAGGACTACCTATAGATCTTACAAAGGTAAGCCTCACAGTCAGTCACCCGGACTACCCATAGATCTTACAAAGGTAAGCCTCACAGTCAGTCACCCGGACTACCTATAGATCTTACAAAGGTAAGCCTCACAGTCAGTCACCCGGACTACCTATAGATCTTACAAAGGTAAGCCTCACAGTCGGTCACAGGACTACCTATAGATCTTACAAAGGTAAGCCTCACAATCGGTAACCAGGACTACCTATAGATCTTACAAAGGTAAGCCTCACAGTTGGTCACAGGACTACGTATAGATCTTACAAAGGTAAGCCTCACAGCCTGTCACCAGGACTACCTATAGATCTTACAAAGGTAAGCCTCACAGTTGGTCACAGGACTACCTATAGATCTTACAAAGGTAAGCCTCACAGCCTGTCACCAGGACTACCTATAGATCTTACAAAGGTAAGCCTCACAGTCAGTCACCCGGACTACCTATAGATCTTACAAAGGTAAGCCTCAAAGTCGGTCACAGGACTACCTATAGATCTTACAAAGGTAAGCCTCACAGTCAGTCACCAGGACTACCTATAGATCTTACAAAGGTAAGCCTCACAGTCCGTCACTTGGACTACCGATAGATCTTACTAAGCTAAACCTCACAGTCTGTCACCAGGATTATCCATCGATCTTACAAAGGTAAGCCTCACAGTCAGTCACCAGGACTACCTATAGATCTTACAAAGGTAAGTCTAACAGTCAGTCACCCGGACTACCGATAGATCTTACAAAGGTAAGCCTCACAGTCCGTCACTTGGACTACCGATAGATCTTACAAAGGTAAGCCTCACAGTCTGTCACCAGGTTTATCCATCGATCTTACAAAGGTAAGCCTCACAGTCTTGTCATCCAGATTATCCATCGATCTTACAAAGGTAAGCCACACACAATCAGTCAACAGGGTAAGGTAAGCATCACATACCCAGCCTATTGTCTTTTCATAATATTCAGATCGGAATTGTTCATATGCGAATGAGTTTCCTGACTAACCTTTAACATTCCAATAACCTTACTAGCTATCAGGATAGTTTGACCTGTTTTGAAATTGATGTATTAGTTTTCGGTGGTCCAGGACAAATCTCATTGCTTTTGTATTATATCGATGTCAGTCTTATTAGTTGTTAGTGAGGTGCTGTAAAAGGTAAATGAGTCTCTCATCATTGTCTGTTGCAGGTACCCTCCAGCTTCCCCACCAGTGTTCTAATAGCAGCAGCCAGTCAGGCTTTCAGCACCATTTCTACCGTCTCCTCCAGAGATGTGCTGTCTATGTCACCAAAATCATGTAAGTGGAGGGTCTTGTTACCATGGTTACCAGATTAAATCATTGGGTCAACCAGTCTCCACTTCTCACCTGGAACTGATTCAAAGTAATTAACCTGACACTACTCCATCGTCATTTGCCATGTTTCTCAAAAACTATTTAAGTCAGAGAAATGAAATTTTACACACTGAGGCTACTGGTCATGGTCTCCACTGAGTTCGAAAATTGTTATCGTGATTTCATTTTTTTACAGAGTTATGGCCCTTGTTCCGTGCTTATCAACTTAGTGCATACTGTATGAAATGGGGACAGGTTTTCTCAGAAACTTATGAAGTTACATGAATGAAAGTTTGCATGCTTATCTAAGAGATACTTGTCAAGACTGAGAAAAATTAGAATATTTGTCCTGTCAATTATATTTTTGTACAGAGTTATGGCCCTTGCTCCGTGCTCATCAGCTTAGTGTATACTGAATGAAATGGGGACAGGTTTTCTCAGAAACTTATGAAGTTACATGTATGAAAGTTTGCATGCTTATCTAAGAGATACTTGTCAAGACTAAGAAAAATTAGAATATTGGTCCTGTCAATTATATTTTTTTACAGAGTTATAGCCCTTCCTCCATGCTTTTCAAGTTAGTGCATACTGTGTGAAGTGGGGACAAGATTTCTCAGAAACTTGAATGAATGTTTGCATGCTTATCTAAGAGACACTTGTCAAGATTTGAGTTCGAAAATTGGTCCCATAAATAATTTTTTTACAGCCCGTGATCCATGTTATTTTACTTGGTGCAATATATGTGTGCAATGGGGATGTTTTCTCAGAAACTACTGAAGCTTATCTAAGAGATACTTATCAAGACAGAGTTATTTATTTCCAGAGAAGGCTCCTTTTGTGTGTATTAATTTCAAATTTAATATTTTTTTCTGATGACATAAAGCGGCCCAAGTGCCTGTCTCTTCTTAAGACTTTATAGGACACTGTTTTATTGTCTATATCATTACTATATGAACCCAACAAAATTCTAATGTGCCTCATCTTGGGGGATAGTGATAACAGTGTTTTCTTGTGTTAAAACTGCAGTGTCATAAGGCTATAAATCATTATCATTTTAGCTTCTTGACATTTGAACTTTAGTACGTTCACTACCACTCCATCTCTGAAAACAGATTTCAGGCCTCGAAGTTACGACTAAAATGGTCGCCAATGCGACCTAAATTTCAATTTATCTACTGTCTAAAATTCAGAGGTAGCCAAATGGATACCTTCAAAAATATCTTGTGGCAACTAACTTCTATTGCTACACATATGTAGACACAAAAATAAACATGTCTGCTACTAATTGTACTCGCAAATAATTCCTCCTAAAGTCAACAATGAACTGAAATACATAAATATTAATGCAATTTGTATTTTATTTTAGTTGATAGTTTATTGGATAAGCAAGGATATACCTATATAATCTAGTAACATAAATTGCATCATTGTTCGAGTCACAAATAACCAAACTCAAGTACAGTTTCCACTAATATACAATGCCATGACTAGTGCTATGACTTGTACATGTAATAGTTTTTTGATAAAAGATAATTTCAAATGCCTTTGGCTACCTACAATATTGGCTTGACTTCTTGATTTTACCACTGGCTACCTGGAAAAAAACTACTTGTAGCCATATGGCTACTTGGTAAAAATTTAAACTTTGAGGCCTGAGGTCAATTGAACCCCTTTGTCGATTTTCTTAGTGCCCAAGGGACTTGGTATGGTACATATGATATATGCTATGATGTTGGCATTAGCACAGTATACTGGATACTAATGGTTAGATGTGTTCGTCTGTCAATCAGTCAGTGTGGATAGGCATGGTCAGTACTTTTTATCAGATAATGAAAATTGATTAATTAGTGGTGGCGGGTAGGCAGATAGGTGGACGTAATACTATATATTAGGTCATTAGTGTGTGTAATGAAATATTTAATGTATATTTCCAGCTGCTAATATCTTAACAGTCAGTCCTTTGCCACAAAGTCCACCATCCCCTCAGCTGGATCTCTCGCCGCGGCAACCACCTTCCCCGCTATCTGACGTCATGTCGCCTCTCTCTGGCATGGTAAGTTACCATGGCTACGATAGTCTATATGGTAGAGGGGCGGTCGGGTAGCCTCGTGGTTAAAGCGTTCGCTCGTCACGCCGAAGACCCGGGTTCGATTCCCGACATGGGTACAATGTGTTAAGCCCATTTCTGGTGTCCCCCACCGTGATATTGCTGGAATATTGCTAAAAGCGGCGTAAAACCATACTCAGTCAGTCAGCAGACTGTTTAGATTGTTATATACCTGGGGGATTGTTTTGGATAGCTGGAATATTGCTGAGTGCTGAAACAAACAAACAAACAAACAAACAAACATACATATTGGTGGAAAGTTGGGTGATACTCGTGAAACTTTGACTCATTGCCTACACCATGTTCAGATGAGCCCGGGACAGGTGGAAGTATCGTTTGGGCTTGAGCCAGAGAAGGTGCAGTACCACGAACAGCGGCGGATGGCCCACCAATCCGCTGAGCAGAAACGGCGATGTAATCTCAAGGTAAACCCCAATGTGAGAATCATTCAATTTTCTTGAATCCTCTTCAGTTTGTGCACATGCTTTGGTTGAATCTTCAGCCCTAAGACTCTGATTGGAAGATCAGGGTCTCTCTTGCCTGCATAGATCCCTTCTTTCTTTGCATCCTGTGTTGTGTACAAAGAATAGCTGTACAAGTTAGGCCTCACAATGAAATATTCTGAGAATGTGAATGTTTCATTGGATAAGAGGAAAATATTGCATTGAGATTTTGGAGTTCAGGCTAACCCTTTTGTGTTCATCACAACCAACACTGCAGCACTGAGGAAAAGTTAGATATAAGAACCTAGTCATTTATCCAGTATTCTGTTGAATATGTGTGGCTTTACTTATGTTTTTGGTCAGATTGAACTGCAGTTCTCAGCTAGTACTGCCATACTTCATAGATCACTATCTTGGAGGCACCCTATGGCTTCCACAGCGCTATAAGAGGTGGAAGTTAGTAAGATGTTTATGGTCTATCATGCAAACTTTGCAAAATTTGAAATCGGCAGTTCTAAATAGCTTGGTTTGCCTCCTGACAATGCTTTAGATGCATGTTCTTTACTTAAACTCAGCAAGTGGTGATTGTAAAAATTAAATTAGTTACAATTCAAATTGATGTTATGAATGTTGTGAAATATGTGAAAGTCTTTATAAATTATAACATTGATCTAGTTTCTTCAGTTATCCTCACAGCTTCTATATTATCCCCTCTTTCACTTCCCTTGCAAGGCCAAAATACATTAATTCAACTTTTTTCTTGTCTTTTTGTGATGATTGTTTCATCTTGTTAATTAATATGTTATGGCCTGTTGTTGCAACAGTTTTGACACTGCATTTTCAATATGCATATATCTTCACATTTTATTCTGTTTGACCCCGCTTTTCAATATGAAGTTAGAGGGGCGGTCGGGTAGCCTAGTGGTTGAAGCATTTGCTTGTCACGCTGAAGACCCGGGTTCGATTCCCGACATGGGTACAATGTGTGAAGCCCATTTGTGGTGTCCCCCGCCGTGATATTGCTGGAATATTGCTTAACCATACTCACTCACTCAATATGAAGTTAGAATTTACCATGGAAGTGGGCTTGTTGTGAGTGTTCTAGGGTAGAATAGTATCTGTGATCATTGCTCATGTTAAGAACAACCAGTCAATATTTGAATATTTATTTTTATTTTTATTTTTATTTAAACACTTTGTGAGATCCTTCCCACATTTTTTGGGGGGGGTCAGGTAATGATGATGCTCTACCAACCAGGTGTGCGTTCCACAAAGAAATCGTAGTGTTAAGGTGATAATCACTCCCATACTGTAGGGGCGGTCGGGTAGCCTAGTGGTTAAAGCGTTCGCTCTTCACGCCGAAGACCCGGGTTCGATTCCCGACATGGGTACAATGTGTGAAGCCCATTTCTGGTGTCCCCCGCCGTGATATTGCTGGAATATTGCTAAAAGCGGCGTAAAACCAAACTCACTCACTCACTCACTCACTCCCATACTGTAACATAGACTTGCGACTGTCATAGTGCTACCCGTTCTTGGTGGAACAAACCCCTGGCCACTCATTGTTAGGGATCAACCATTTAATATTCAATGGGCTGATGGCATGTCTTGGATATATTTTTAGTAGATAATAATATTTTCACACACAGAGCTTCAGGACATATAGGATTTCTTCCTCTGACATTCCAGGTTAGAATTTATCCCCAGGGACCCGTTCCACAAAGCTACAGTAGAGCTACGACAGTCGTAAAGCTATGTTAAAGTATGGGAGTTACGATTGTCTTAGCGCTACAACTTCTTTGTGGAACGGGGCCCAGGAACCCATACTGGTTGTAAGAGGTGACTTAATGGGATCAGGTGGTCAGACTCTGTGACCTTGTTGTTAACATGTAATCGTGCCCTGTCAGCATGGATTGTTGCTCATGATATCAGTCACTACATTGTCTGGTCCACACTCAGTTATTTAAAGGCTGCCTTCATACAGCTGCAGGGGTGATCGGGTAGCCTAGTGGTTAAAGTGTTCGCTCGTAACGCCGAAGACCTGGGTTCGATTCCCGACATGGGTACAATGTGTGAAGCCCATTTCTGGTGTCCCCCGCCGTGATATTGCTGGAATATTGCTAAAGTGGCGTAAAACCATGCTCACTCACTCACTCACTCACTCATACAGCTGCAATAGCTGGAAAAAAGTGCGCACTATACTCAAGAAAATCGGTATATCTGAATTTGGTATTAATCACCAAACAAACAAATTCATTGATATATTTTGCAGATGCCTAAAGGAGAAAGATATATATTGTGTAGAAATGATTTTGTTTGTTTTGTTTGTTGTTTAATACCAATCAGGTGCTTGAAATCATGAGCATCGATCAAATAAATTACATGAATGCTTTTTTATTTCTGCATCATTACTCTAGGTAGAACAGCCCTTATCCACTAAAGCAGGCATTCTTGTATGAAGTTTTTATTGCCTGGGGTCCAACAGATGTGGTTTCATTGATTATTAAGGTGGCTTCACATAAGGCTTTATTTTACTGATGTATGTTTCCAAACAGAAATTTTCAAGTGTGAAAATACAAATTGCCAAAGCAGTGGTAGGAACTGACAGTTTTGGTCCACGAGTCCTTATAATGATAACATATAGCAAAACCCATAAAAATGGCAAGTTTCTACTGGTCCTTATGATACCTTAACTATTGGGCCACTTGGCAAGGACTACAGGACTAGTGCCAGTTTCTAATGCTGCAAAGGTTTTGGAGCTAAACAAAGTTCTGTTTCCTGTGTGAAGCCACCTTTAGTGAATGTTAGGTGACACCGGCTTCTCCCTCCCTGCTTGCATCTTCCTGGCTCTACTCTGATGTATACCAGCATTAACTCCTTCTCTCCACAGAGCGGATTCGACATGCTGCATACACTAGTGCCGGCACTTAGTGTCAATCCCAAGGTCAGCAAGGCAGCCATGCTTCAGAAAAGTGAGTTCAATTCTTTAGGACCCCTGAAGATTCCAGGGTAGAATAGGTCTTCAGCAACCCATGCTTGCCGTAAAAGGCGACAATGCTTGTCGTAAAAGGCGACAATCGGGATCGGGTGGTCAGGCTCGCTGACTTGGTTGATGCATGTCACTGATCCCAATTGCGTGGATCGATGCTCATGATATCAATCACTGGATTGTCTAGTCCAGACTCGATTATTTACAGACTGCCATCATATAACTGGAATATTGCGGCATTAAACAATAAACCAACCAACCAGTCCATTCTTTAGGATTACTGTCTAATGAAAGTTTTTTTTAAACTCTGTTTATTATCTTAGAAACAAATTGATCACAACATGAGTATTCCAGTTAGTGATGTCTGCAGCAAGCTTGTTGTAAGAGGCAGCTTGATGGAGCAGTTGGTCAGGTTTTGTGACTTCATAGCACATTAACTTACCTCAACATTGCTTGTTATATCAGTCACTGGATTTTCTGATCCATTATTTTACATGTCATATGGCTGAAATATTGTTGATTATGGAGTTACGCAGCAATCTGACAAACAAGCGAACAAATGAATCTGCTCAAGTTCTGAAACGTATATGGCATACCCCAGCATGGAAAGTGAGTGAGTGAATGAATGAGTTGGGTTTAACGCCGTTTTAACAGTATTGCAGTTATATCATGGCGTGTCAGCTTAATGTGGGAGGAAAGCCCCAAGTGATGCGGGTCTCAGACGTTTACCACTTCGGTGAAACCCACGAGCACCGGTATGGTGCTGACAAACCTAGAAACATAATCGGGGCGAACCGGGATTTCGAAGCCACAATCAAAGGTTTCTGGCGTGCAACTCTGCACAGCGAATCGCGGCGCCTTAGACGACTTGGCCACCCGTGCCCCCCCAGCATGGAAAGACTAAGCAGAGGTTAATGTTCTTTTGTCCTTACGGGGTTGTCATTGAAATTCCAAATATCAATATGCAGTGAAACCCTGATGATACAGACAGAATTGTTTGCATACAAAATGTGATTGCATGTTGAAACATTTTTTGTCATGTTCATGTGAATCACTGAAGTTTCTACAATTAAGTGTGTCTTTGTTGCCAGCTGCTGATTACTGCAAGAAGCTCAAGTCAGAACGGAGTCAAATGCAAAAGGAGGCAGAGATTCTTAAACAAGAAATAGAGTCTCTAAACTCAGCTATCAGGTATCTATGCTACATCCTTGACTTAAAGTCACTCTTCATGCCGAAAGCCCGGGTTTGATTCCCGACATGGGTACAATGTGTGATACTCATGTTTTGTTTACCTTCAGGAATATTGCTTAAAACAGCATGAAACTCACTTACACACTTACTTACTCACAGGTGCTTGCAGAAGCACGCTGTGATCTGAATGAAATACTGGTCACAGGGGAGTTTAACTTAGCTCACTCGCTCACTCAGTCACTTGACAAGGCAGCAGGGTTGTCTAGGTTGTCCACTGAGTAGTATATAGAGGATGACTGGAATATTGCTGAGTGCGGCGTTAAACAACAAACAAAGTAACACAGAATGACTTGTTTTCTTGTTATTTAAGTTAGTATATTCAGTTGATAGTCATTGGATTTCATGTTGTTACCCTGTCTGGCGCTCGGCATTAAGAGGCTAAAACAAGGACTGGTTGGATCGGAGTCAGTATACTGTGTCTGAGTGGGGTATTCATGTTAAACTGCGGCATGGTATCTCAGTGTGCTAGCACTATAAATCGGTCCGGACTAATACAAGCAGCCACACACACACATATACATGCATGCACGTCGCTATATAAGTGCAATAATCTTGGATGCGACATTAAACCCCATTTCACCTCACCTGATTTGATTTCATCAAGAAAGAGACTGTTTAAATGGGGACTAGGCTCGCTGCAACTGTCTTGTTCTTGCAAGTTTCGACCCCTTCCATGGTTTGGTGGATAGTGCCAGCCTCTGGCTGGAGCGTGGAAGGTCGGTGCTTGTTGTGAACCAGGTGCTTCGCATAAAGGGGCTAATCAAGGACTGGTCGGCTGGGAATCAGTGTATCGTGTCTGAGTGGGGTATCCATATTAAACTGCGGCTTGTTTTCGCAGTTTGCTAGCACTATAAAACCGATATTCTTCCGGAATAGTAAGCCTAGTCGCACCTTACCTCCGGAGTGAGAATAGAGAATGGAGTATATTTAGTATTTACTATTTTAACATGACTGTGACATAGCTGGAATATTGCTGACTGCACCATTAAACAAACGTTTTCTCCTATCAAAAGATGAAGAAACGTATCCGTCAAGTCTTGAATCCTAAACTCTTCTTACCTTGCAGTGTTGTCCAGTCACAGTTGCCCGAGACCGGTGTGCCAGTTACAAGGCAGAGGGTCGACCAGATGAAGGACATGTTTGATAGCTATGTCCGAAGCCGCACACTCACCAACTGGAAGTTTTGGATTGTATCCTTGTAGAACTTAAACTGATGGTGAAACGTAGGGTGAGGTAGCCCAATAAGAAGTGTGTCTTCTCCTGTCTCCTAAGATTTGAGTTTTATTTTAACCATTGGTTTGAAGTTAAGAGTGATATATACTGTATGCTTTGTAGGGCTTTACTACCCGGGTACCCACCCCCCTATTACCCGACCCTACCCAGGTACCCACTGTAGGTCTCAGGAGATGTCTTAATATGGGAACATTTTTAGCATAGCCCTGGCAAAACGTATTTAGAAACATGTATTGAACAATCTGGTCATTCATACACTGAAGTTGAATTAAGTTATATCTTTATTCAAAAATATGAAAAATCAGAAGGAATTGGTGCATAGTCAGAAGGAAATGCGAACAATAGTGACTTGTAGTGTAACCATGGAGTTCTAGATAATTTTTGTCATTAAACAATATATCACGTGACTAACCACAGGTCCGGGTAGTCATGTGGGTATCTACTCAGTATCCGCCTTGGCCCTCACTCCTTAATGTCCTTCTCTGTCAGCCTATGACAGACATGTTTTTCCCTTCGAATTCTTCTTTGATTGGCTGGATCTCATTCCGAATCAGGGGGCACGGGTGACCCAGTCGTCTAAGTTGCCGCGATTCACTGTACAGAGTTGTGTCCCTTAGGCACGCCAGAAACCTATGATTGTGGCTTCGAATCCTGGTTCGCCCGAATTATGTTTTTAGATTTGTCAGCACCATACCCGTACTCGTGGGTTTTACCAAAGTGGTAAACATCTGAGACCTGCATTACTTCAGGCTTTCCTCCCACATTAAGTTGACATGCCGCGATATAACTGGAATACTGTTAAAAGCGGCGTTAAACCCAACTCACTCACTCACTCATTCCAAATCAATTGTAGAATCGGTTGGCTGGGGATACCATGTGTTCAGCATGTGTAGGTCAACTGGCATGAAGATCAGGCATGACCCAGATTGTCGGGAGGTGACTATGGACATGTTCGGGTGAATTGTATTTTAGAAGCTGGAAACCTTGTTTAGGCACGTTTCAACTTAGGATTAAAAGAAGAAGGAGAAATGCAATGTGATAGAATAAGTATTATACAATTTATTGTAACATTTAATTTTTCTCTCCCTAATGGCTGAGATATTGCCGATTTGTCGCTGCAACGTTGAATTTTAGCTCACTCGCTCATATCTCATACTGACCTCTGGTTTGTCGATCCAGATATTTTGTTTTACTTTTACAGACCATCTTCTAACCTAACTCCCCTTGTCTTAAAAATGTCAACTTTTATTTGAAAGTTGCCACTGCCAAAACATATCAATTTTTGAGCATGTCTGAGATCATTGATGTCATATCCTTAACAAATGACCAGTTTTCAATAATTATCAGGAACCTTTTTGGTTCGTACAACAACACAGTATCAACGGCTAGTATTGAAGAACTTTGCCGGACTGTGTTAGCCTGGCTGGACCAGAATTGTTCACTTGTCGCACTCAGGCCAAGTAAGTACACATGGATAAGATGGTAATGTGACTGTTCACCTTCTACTAGTTCTAGCGCCTGACGGGCACCTTGGGTTGTATACTACTCAGGGAGCTGGGAATGAATATTTACAACTCTACAACTCCACTTACACAAGGGGGCGGTCGGGTAGCCTAGTGGTAAAAGCGTTCGCTCGTCACGCCGAAGACCGGGGTTCGAATCCCGACATGGGTACAATGTGTGAAGCCCATTTCTGGTGTCCCCCGCCGTGATATTGCTGGAATATTGCTAAAAGCGGCGTTAAACCAAACTCACTCACTCACTCCACTTACACAAAAACTGTGCTCTTATTTGTGGCTGTCATATTTCTCTTTTTATTCCATAACTTGATTAATAAGATGTTGTTTTTCTCTGGACAGCATGTGAACTAATTTAAACACTATAAGAAAACCCCACAGTGTATTGACGTTGGAAGTGAAGTAACATTCTTTCGTTAGGATTATTTGTTTCTACCTACAGAGGATACTTTCGACAGGTCACTTGATAAAAAACCCACTTGTTTTTGCAATTTTATTTTATGAAATTATAAAAGGAGAGAGTATGTAGTTGCTCTTTTATCCGGTTAATGATATCTCCATTCTATTATGATGAATAACCTGGACCAATTTGCTACCATAGCTTTGTTTGAAAGTGACTTCACCAGACAGCTGCAAGATTGTTGATTCTGGATTGAGAAAAAATCACAGGTCTGTCACATGTGACTGTTATTTGATTAGACAGCTATTTTAAGTGTCATGTCAATTGAAAACCATTTCTGAAATGTTGGACTGAACCAAAGCCATGGTAGCCAATGAGTCCAGGATGTTATCGTGATAGGAAGAAGATAACATACACCAGATAATGGGAGATGTTTGAATTGTGCGGGATCATATTGAATCATGATTGAAGAAAACATTTGGCTATCATCTAACAGCTGTATTTTCTTGCAGCTGTTTTGAATGCGTTACGGCATTTGAGTACAACAACCAGCATCTTGACCGAGCCCTCCCGGATGAAGGAGCAGGCGACGCAGGCTGTCACAAAGGATTCTCAATCCTCCTCCACCCACACCAGGTCATGATAACTCTTTCTCTCCCCATGGGGGGACTCGGACTGAAAATGAACAGGCCATTGCTGTCACAGATTACAAACAGTGCTCAAAGATGTACTGAAGCTCACTTTCATCAATATTAGTTGGACTCTATGTTCATCTTCATCTCTTTTGTCAGCTTTGAAGCTTGCCTGCAGACTTTGAACTTGGGAGCATTGATGTGGTACTGAGGCTCACTTATAAGAGTGGTATGGAAAAACATCGGCTTTAAGAATTTGTACTTGTGAAATTTGAATTGAAGCGATGCTGAAGCTCCAGTTTATGGCTGGAGGATGTGAGAGGCAAGGAGCATAAAAGTGAACGACCTTGAAGCTACTATGGTGAGGTTTGTGAAGAGTGACGAAGAGTTTGAGGCTTGTGACAAAGTTACAGGCTTCACGGACTGAGAGAGAGGAGATGTATTTGATGTGTCACTATAGAAATATTGTATCTTTTGTATGAGGGCAGTGGTTCCAAAGAAAACAATATGATGTCAGTATATTCTTTGTAGTTGAACCAGTGAAGATGTACTATACAATGCTGGCATCCCACTGTAAGATTGCCAATTATGATGGAAGGAGACAGTGTTTACAGATGCCTTAATAAAATGAAGATCAGGGATTTGCTGAGAGGGCATATGAGAGAGAGGAGATGGTTGCTTTGGATTGTTTTCGGAAAACTCAACAACATTGCAGCCAAAGTACTGTTCATTTCTGTTCATGCTTACACTGTTGCTCCTTTTCTATTGGTGCTATTCCAGCTGCTCTTCGTACAATAGAGGCAGTGTTGTGACTTAACTCATTAACCGTCTGTGAAAGATGCCTCTGTATCTAGAATGTGGTCTGTCATGAGTTTCAGCTTCAATCACAATGTCATTTGAAGCTGGCAACTGAACTGAAGTATGTTGTAGTTTTGTGACCTACTGCTGGAACAGACGATTTGATTTGGTCTTTGGGTTGATCTTGAATGACGGTGAGTTTGACTTGCAGTGAGTTGAATTTTAGCTGTTCCAATCTTGGATTTTTGCCTTTGAACTGACTCAAATGTGTCCCTCAGAGTGTGGAAAGTGGTCTGGTGATGGCTATGGTTTGAATATTATCATGGTAGTTGTCTTAACTTAGGTGAGGCACTATGTGATGCCTCAATGATTCCTCAGCAATGATTGGAAGGTCTGAACTACACTGATCACAACCAGGTGGTTGGAACATAGCTTTAAACCAGAGAATGTCTTCAGAAACACTGAACGTGAGTGATGGCCAGGAAACTGGATGGACCATGAGTGATGGCCAGGAAACTGGATGGAACATGAGTGATGGCCAGGAAACTGGATAGAACATGAGTGATGGCCAGAAAACTGGATAGAACATGAGTGATGGCCAGAAAACTGGATAGAACATGAGTGATGGCCAGAAAACTGGATAGAACATGAGTGATGGCCAGGAAACTGGATGGACCATAAGTGTTGGCCATGAAATTGGATAGAACATGAGTGATGGCCAGGAAACTGGATAGAACATGAGTGATGGCCAGGAAACTGGTAGAACTTGAGTGATGGATAGGAAGCTGGATAGGACATGAGTGATGGCCAGGAAACTGCATGGCAAACGTAGTGCTAAGGTGATCGTAACTCCCAAACTTAAACAGCACCAAAATGTCTTTTTGGAATTGGTCCCAGTTGCATAGGTTCATCCCTTGAGGTTCAAACACAAGGAGTTTCGATTTGGAGGATTTGTAAGTTGTGTCGGGATCACCATGATCACACCAGGACATATTCTCAGTAAATTCAACAGTGAGTTTGTGATGGACGTGTGACCGACGTTCATTAGGAAGTAAGAACAGACACTGTTCCAGATAATGTGACAGTGGTGCACGTCTGTATCACTGTGTGGAAGGTTGCTGTGCTACAGGGTGGAATTATCTTTATTTATTTATGGACGAATCAGAATGTTACTTACTGTGTTGATTGTATGTGGTTACCTCAAAAGGAAACTTAAAACCCATCTGTAAGTAGCCAGATGTGTCTCAGAAGGGGGATGTTTTCTACCTTGAATATTTAGAATGAAACCCTCCTTCGAATAAGCAGCTAACACATCACCAAGGTTTTCAGAGTGAAGGTCACCACTAAAAAAACATAATGACATGTGCATCATTTGGATAAGTGATGTCATTTCATCAATGTGCAGCATACCTATGGAATCAGGTAAAAATAGCCACAATGCTTTTCATTTGCACAGATAAACCCGTATGCAGTGTTTTCTCTTTGTCAGTATTTGAAACCTTTTTGCGATTTTGGACATTTAAGACTGAAATTGTATGTTTGATGTCAGCAATAATGTTCAATGAATGATCTGTGAGCCATGATTCGTAAGACACTATCTCATGATCTGCAATCCATAAGGCAGTATCCTATGATCCGTGATCCACAAGACATTAGCCTATGAGCTTTGATTCATGATCCATATGGCATGGTCCAATGATCCATGATTTGTAAGGCATGATTAGCTGTATTTCTTATCAGTCCATCATAGGGGTGTCATGATACAGATACCTCACTATTCTATATGTATCTCGATTTTGAGGTCAAGATACGATACGTTTCTCGATACAGCAATACTGACCTTTTATGTGTAAATTTAGAAGCAAACTTTTTAATTACATATCAGGTTCACAATTATGTGTTCTAATCACTATAAGAAGATTATTTTGTAAAAAATAATAATACTTAGAAAAGGTTGATTCTGTCTCCAAATGTGTCAGAAGTTTTCGTATGTGTCAAATTCAGAAAATATGATTCGATTTGAAAAGAAAAATCAATCGATAAGCGAACAAAGGATACTGATTTCAATAAATTTTGTATTGATATAAATTTACATGTATCTCGTATCGTATTGTAAGAACTATCTACCAATGCTTTGGTATAATCGGTGAATCTTGACATCCCAAGTCTGTCAGCACTGTCCATCATTCAATTTTCCAATTAGCTATTAGCGTTCAGTATTAGGTTACCAAGTTTCAGTTGCCATGATTATGAGTATTCAAGATAGGTGTATCAGGTGAGTATCAGTACAGTAACACCCATAACAATCTCATTAAAATCAGATCTGAGTTCTCACTATCGCTAAACAAGATCTGAGGACATCCCATTACGGGTCATGTCAGAACGACCTTTCATCCAACCAATCAGAGCGTCGCTTACCAGATAATGAAAGTGACAGTGGGAATGTGTTTTCTAATCATGCAACCTCGAAATATTTAACAAAGGGTATTCCGAACGACGGTTACAGGTTTTATGATTATATCCATACAATCTAGGCCATCTATAAGCCATTCCAGAATGTTCTTTTTATCAGTATTCAATTTTTTAATCGACGTCAAAATATGTTTTGAAGCGTAGTCGCCAGTTTGAAACTAGTGTTGTAAAGCTCGAGAAGGCTGCTTTATGATTGGCTAATGTCGATTTCTTGTCAGTCATTTCATTGGTCGGTCAAAGTTTGCGAAAGGTCGATCTGATGTGACCCGTAATGGGATGTCCTCAGATCTTTGTTTAGCGGCAGCGAAAACTAACATCTGATTTTGATAAGATTGCACCCGTAAGTCCAGGCTTTTCCTGTTAGGAATGTTTGTATATGATTATCGGGACATTTCTATGTACATGCTGTACCAATTGTTAACCTATTATTGTGGGTTTGAATCCCGGTTCATCCCGATAATGTTTCTAGGTTTGTCAGCACCATACCCGTGCTTGTGGGTTTCACAAACATGGTAAACATCTAAGACACTTCAGGCTTTCCTCACACATCAAGCTGACACGCTGTGATATAACTGGAATACTGTTAAAGCTGCGTAATACCTTACCCACTTTCTCAATACCAAAACACTTTAAGATTAGACATATTCTTTAGATTAGATACAAAATCCATGTTACCAGTACTGTACCTACTTAATAGGAAACTTGCAACTGTTTGAGAAAGTTTTATCTGACTTATTGACTGAAATATCACCAAACACTTAATTTTGAAACTGTAACCATGCTCACATTGACCCATTGTCAGAATCTGTCTGTTGTTTTTTCATGATAAATGAACCAAGCCATAATATCTTTGTTATCAAAGCTTGTGAAGTTATTTATGCATTTTTGAGTACTTGTTGATTGTAAAATATACATGATACTCAGAAACAAGTGTGTCCGTATGACACATGAAACATTATCTTACACAGTTAATATTTTATTTTGGAGTTGAAAAAGTGTTTCAGTTTGAAAGATAATTAAAGAAATTACAGGCAGGCATGAAAATGTAGATTTGAACTGATTTTAACTTTTGTGAATAATAGTGACCTTGTGTGTTGGAGTTATCTCCCTTAGGTTCAATTTCCCCCACGCCCTGTTATATATATATTATATATATATTGAAACTCGGCCTCAGGGCTGTTGTACAGTTGCTCACTGCTGTTGTATGTCCATGTGGGAGATGAATCAGGGATTTTGCTGTAAAAAACATCTTTTTTCTACTCAAATTAAAATGACAGTATGTAGTACCTGACACTCATTTCTTTCAAGTTATATGTTTTGAAAATAGTACAGTGAATAAGTAAAGCATACTTACGTAATATAGTTTAACTCAGGCAGACAGTTATCAGCACTCTGATGAAGCTATGCCTTTTCTATTCAGGGCTACCTGCACTTGAAATCTTTGGTAATAGCTTTTCCATGGAATATGTTAGACTTGGAATTAAAGTGGAGTTTGGCCCCTAAAATGTTTCTCAAAATTTTCAGTATGTTTTGGGTTTTTTGTAGTTAGAGGGAGGGCAATGGTATCCTTTTGCAATTTGTTAAGGCTTTTTTTATTGTCCTATTCTGTTTATTGTTTGTGGTAAGAGATATATATGTGTAGTAAAGATGTTTAGCATGAACAATACACAGGAGTATCCAGTAATGCAGAATTACATTGTACTTGTTTTCTTGTTTGTGGCAGATATTAATTATTGAAGGATACTTTCTAATTACCGTATTCGACGTAATAAGCGCCCAGGGCACTCTCGAAATTAAAAATAGGGTGCTCTTATTAGAATATTATTTTCGGGGAAACAGAGTTGAAAGATAAATTTTGTGGTTTATGCTGACAGCCTGAAATGTTTATGTACGACAGATATATTTTTCTAGAATTTAATTGCCCATAATTAAGGGTGCATATAACACACGAGTGCGTATTGTACGTGAATAAATAAGTCTTGTGAACATTGATCAATCGGAAGGGGTGCTAATTAGGATTGTTCACTAGCCAATATATTAGCAAATACTGCCATGGGCACTTATTAGAGCGGGGCGCTTATTACGTCGAATACGGTAAGTATATTTAGAAAGACAAGAGGTCCTTATTAATGTTTGAAGGAGCACTGGCGCAGTGCAACTGGCAGTTTTAGCAAGTTTGACCGCCTCTGTGGTCTAGTGGATAGAGCATCTACCCAGAGAGGTCTCGACCACTGGCTGCGTTATACTCAGGCCTCAAAGTTTAAATTTTTATCAAGTAGCCATATGGCTACAAGTAGTTTTTTTCCAGGTAGCCGGTGGTAAAATCAAGAAGTCAAGCCAATATTGTAGGTAGGCAAAAGCATTTGAAATTATCTTTTATCATTAAACGGTTATATGTACAAGTCATAGCACTAGTCTTGGAATTGTATATTAGTGGAAACTGTACATGCTCGAACAATGATGCAATATATGTTACTAGATTATATAGGTATATCCTTGCTTATCAAAAAAACTATCAACTAAAATAAAATGCTAATTACATTAATATTTATGCATTTCGGTTCATTGTTGACTTTAGGAGGAATTATTTGCAAGTACAATCAGTAGCAGACATGTTTATTTTTGTGTCTACATATGTGTAGCAATAGTATTTAGTGGCCACAAGATATATTTAAAGGTAGTCATTTGGCTACCTCTGAATTTTAGACAGAATACAAATTGAAATTTAGGACACATTGGCCACCGTTTTAGTCGCAACTTTGAGGCCTGATACCTGACGTTAAAAGAAGGTACTTGTTGTTTCCTTGCTTGGAGTTTGGTGTAAAGGGGATGAAAGACTGGTCGGCTCTCAGTCTGTATACTGTGTTTGAGTGGTGTATCCATGTTAAACTGCAGAATGGTATCTGAGTGGGTTAGCACTATAAAATCAGCATTAGTTGACAAGTACTAGCAGCCACACAAACATGCACACACAGACACAGATGTGCATGCAGGTCTCTTTATAGGTGAAATAATCCTCAGCATGACGTTAAACCCCATTTCACCTCACCTCACCTCACCTCACCTCAACGAAGATCATCCCTATACAGGTCACGTCAGAACGACCTTTTACCCAACCAATCAGAGTGTCGCTTACGAGAGATTGGTAAAGTGACAGTCGGAATGTGTTGACTCAAGGCAATTGAGCATACTGTATTCGACCCAATAAGCGCCCAGTGCGCTTAAAATAAAGACAGAAGAGGTGGGCGCATATTGGGACCAATTCAGAGTCAAATTGGCGTAAATTCATCAGTAAGCCTATCGATATTCTTCTGTTGCTGGGGGGCTAGAGATAAACTGTTACTTACGTTTTACTAGTGAACATCTCCTCATTAACCGACTACAAAAGATTCTTGACCGTGTGTAAAAAACAGGTGAGTAAATCTTACTTGGGCATCCGGGAAAAGGGGTGCTTATTGGGACATGGGCCCTTATTGGGTCGAATACGGTAGTCCCTCTTTTAGCTGTTATGCAATGCCAAATATGTAAGTGCTATTCATTGTAAACTCAGCATTGGTAATTTTTGGGATAAAATCCAACTTATGAGTGTGTAAACCTTTTTGTTAAGGTACTAGTGAATATAAGTTGCTTCTTTGCACACATCTGGAAGCTGTTTGTTTTTGTTAATTGCAGTACAGTCACATTTGTACAAGAATCCATAACCAGTTTATGTAGTAGCATTTTAATCTATTTATCATCTTGACAGACTAGCGTTAGTTTGTCTTTCAACATGTTAAAACTGACTGTATGATGGCAATGTCTGAAAAATAATTAGATTGCAATGATATTACTGTGTATTATTACAAAATGGTATATTTACAACCAGTCTATTACTCATTTAAATCTAAGAATAAACCAGTTTTGTTCTCCCCTCTGGTATCATGTTTGAAAAATTGTTCAATGCTTTATTATCTTTCTTAGGTTTCTTAAACTTTTCTAGCCAATCTTGCCACTCATTTGAAAAAAGCATTACATATATTGATATTAAGTTAATTAAAAATCTTAGTCTTTTGAGGGATAATGGTTAATTATGTTACTTGCATATGAAAAAGTATTACTCCCTCTTGCTAATTCAATTAAAGGGGAAATTCACTTATTTTCTTCCACTTTTCGGTGGTGTAAACTTAATTTATAATTATTCAAAATGAACACAATAAGAAATTCATGAGGTATATGATGCACAAATTGTCCTGTGATCAGGAAACCTTTTTCGAATCAAATCATGAATTTGAATCACGAATCTTCAACATGATAAATATTAGATGTTTGTGTCATGAGAATGTCAACTTCATGGACTTTGAGCTGAAAATATGTTGAGTAGTTTATCCTTGACATACTGTGTGACAGTTTGTATGTTTCCATTATAGAAATTGGAATGGAATATATTAGTGCTGAATTATTCTCCTTCCTGAGAGAGTTTGTTTTCAAATTCCACATTCATGCTGCTGTAGGGGGGCACGGGGTAGCCCAGTCGTCTAAGGCGCCGCGATTTGCTGTGCAGAGTTGCGTCCCTTGGGCACGCCAGAAACCTATGATTGTGGGTTGAATCCCGGTTCGCCCCGATTATATTTCTAGGTTTGTCAGCACCATACCCGTGCTTGTGGGTTTCACCGAAGTGGTAAACGTCTGAGACCTGCATCACTTCGGGCTTTCCTCCCACATGAAGCTGACACGCCGTGATATAACTGGAATACTGTTCAAAGCGGCGTTAAACCAAACTCACTCACTCACACTGCTGTAGTTTTTTAGGTGTCAAACATGATCCATTCATTTGTATTTGTCTCTGCAGGAACATGGGGGTAGTCTTCAGCAACCTCTTACGTAAGAGATGACAAAGGGAATTTGGTGGTCAGTCTCGCTGACTTGGTTGATGCATGTCATCATGTCCATTTGTCCAATGCTGACTGGATTGTCTGGTCCAGACTCTATTGTTCACAGACTGCTGTCATATAGCTTGAATATTGCTGAGTGCCCATTAATAAACAGTGTTTGTGATGGTCAGTACTTGTGAACTGCATCACAAGGAAGTTGGGTTAAGCAATTTGCCTCAAGAGAACTGTCCATGTTCCTTGATGGAACATCGCCTTGGTCATGTGTTCATGTACAGTGTCCTCTTAGGGAACGGGGCATGGGTGGCCCAGTCGTCTTTAGGTGCCACGATTCGCTGTATAGAGTTGCGTCCCTTGGGCACGCCAGAAAACTGTGATTGTGGGTTTGAATCCCGGTTCGCCCAGATTATGTTTCTAGGTTTGTCAGCACCATACCTGTGCTTGTGGGTTTCACTGAAGTGGTAAACGTCTGAGACCTGCATCACTTCGGGCTTTCCTCACACATAAAGCTGTCACGCCGTGATATAACTGGAATACTGCTAAAAGCGGCGCTAAACCCAACTCACTCACTCATTCACTCACTCACTCACTCACTAATGTGTGTTTGGACCCTAAAATGCTCGTTACATGGTTGACCATCGGTTTGCCTGTCTCAGAACTGGTTTCACTTTTGTCAATTGTGCAACTGTAAACCTGCTGATTAAAACATACAGAGAAACCTCATTAATTTGGACCCAGTTTGTCTGGAAACCCTGCTTTGGGGTGAAATATATATAAGGGTAATTCTGCATCCATGGTTTCTTAAGCTGAACAATTTCAATGGGAACATTTGTCTGGATTAATTAGGTATCACTGTCCATCATTCACTTGATTCAATAAATTATCATGATTGATTTCATCCAACAGTAACAACAGATTAACAAATGAAGGTAAATGACAAAACTTTGATTTTATGGGATGTGTAATTAATGAAACTGATATGAGTGTGTGTTTGGTATGTATGCTTAGGTCACTGTGGCAGTTCTAATTTATACCTTGTTCAGAGACGGACATGTCTCTGTGGGGCAGTTGTAGTGTTAGCCCTCCCCTATTTCTTTTGTTAAGATGTCCTGTTGTATGGTGTCCCCTCAGCTGCCAATGCTGAAATAATACCTGTAACCTTTTTGTGTACCATAGATTTGTATATAAAAAGGACATATTATTTGATGTACATGTCATTAAATGTCGAGAAAGAGAAAATAATTGTGTCCTGTTTTCGATGTATATGGACATGCCTGTCTTGTAGATGATAAACAAGCAGATGATAAACATCAATACCTACATCAACTTGTTTGCTGTCTGTATCAGATATGTGATTCTGCCAATCGATCAGCATGCAGGTCAACACATGGACACCCGAGTCGACATGAGCCTGGAACAGTTGGGTTTCATCCACAGCTCCTGATCCCATATCCTCAAGATGCAGGAAGATCTCCAGATGTCTGCCCTCTTTTCATGCAGCGCAACAACCTCATGATGCGAGAAGCATGATCGGGCAGCCAACCACAGCTCCACAATTCTTCAACGGAAGACTACATCCATCTATGAAAAGATCAATTGGTCTACTAATCAGAAGTTCCAGAATGTCACCCTGGCTTCTAGGATACAGGGGGCGGTCGGGTAGCGTGGTGGTTAAAACGTTCGCTCGTCACACCGAAGACCCGGGTTCGATTCCCGATATGGGTACAATGTGTGAAGCCCATTTCTATTGTCCCCTGCCGTGATGTTGCTGGAATATTGATAAAAGCGGGCGTCAAAACATACTCACTCACTCACTCCTTCAAGCAAATGGTTACTGATGGCACAAACGCAGTCTCATGTTATAACTATGTCTGCGACTTGCTGATTTAATTTGTAGGATACAGAAAGGTTCATCCTATTATCAAATTCAGCAAGATTCTCCGAAAGAAAGACACATGACATCAGGGCGTGACTCCTTTCGTGCCCAAGCCTGGAAAAAATCAACACGTCCTTAGGCTAACTACACCAAGAGTAAGCAGCCCTTCCAACAGAAGCGGTCCCCATCGTATATGACTCCTCTCAAGTTCAGCATTTATCTCTAAATCCTGTCAATCTTGCTTTACTCACGGACATCGATTGCAGAGTATTGGTATTCAACACAACGCCAACCCTGGGACCAGTTGGGAGTTGTTTGATGCAGTATGAAGACCGCCACCGTGGTCTAGTGGTAGAGCGTCCGCCTGAAGAGTGGAGGGTCGTCGGTACGATCCCTGGCCGCGTGATACCAAAGTACGTTGAAAGATGGTACTTGTTACCCTGCCTGGGGCTCGGCATTAAGGGGCTTAAACAAGGACTGGTCGGCTCGGAGTCAGTATACTGTGTCTGTGTGGGGTATTCATGTTAAACAGCGGCATGGTATCTCAGTGGGCTTGCACCATAAAATCGTAATTAGTCCGGACTAGTACAAGCAGCCACATACACGCACACATGTCACGTTGCTATACAATTGCAATAATCTTGGACGCGACACTTAACCCAATCGCATTAAAATCAGATCTTAGTTTTCGCTACCGCTAAACAAAGATCTGAGGACATCCCATTACGGGTCACGTCAAACGGCAATATTCAGCTCACTTACTCAGAGGCTGCAATTCGAATAAATAACGAAACAATTTTAATGTTTATGATTTAATATAACCAATCCGTTGACAGTTCGATTTCGTACAATTTCTTCCACGCAAGCGTACGTCACAGGGTCATACTGAAGGTCAAATTTGTTTGCAACCAGTTTGTGAGCGACCTTCAATGAGGGGAGATCACCCAGTCCAAAGACGCATATGTTATGCCGGTACCTTCCATGGCATCTATATCTTTGTTCTTTCCCGTTCCAAATAACAAATCTAGAAATAAACCTTTTCTTGTCTGGATGCTCTGGAACACAAAAACAGGAATCTAAATGGTAAATGCCATGCCCTGTGTTTTCTATACCACACACATACATGTACACACATCGTCAATATTTCACGGGTTTACAGACACTGTTACCTCCCTCCACCAGGCATGGGGGGCACGGGTGGCCCAGTCGCCTAAGGCGCCGCGATTCGCTGTGCAGAGTTGCGTCCCATAGGCACGCAAGAAACCTATGATTGTGGGTTCGAATCCCGGTTCGCCCCGATTATATTTCTAGGTTTGTCAGCACCATACCCGTGCTCGTGGGTTTCAACGAAGCGGTAAACGTCTGAGACCTGCATCATTTCGGGCTTTCCTCACACATTAAGCTGACACGCCGCGATATAACTGGAATACTGTTAAAAGCGGCGTTAAACCCAACTCACTCCACCAGGCATGAATACATACCACCGCTCAGCAATGGCGTAGTTATTTTACCCAACGAATAAAGCCATGACCCGCTAAGGCCAATCAGAGCTCCTATTTCATTGCCAAAACGGACCAGACTATTTGGTCACAACGGCCAATTTGTCTGGTCAAAACGGACTAGTAAAATATTTTTTGCGGTAATTGTCTTTGAAAGTATTTTTTACAAGGTTTATCGTTTAGGAGGTAATTGTCCGGCCGCTAATTTTCCAGGAGGCATTTTTCCAGGCAGTAATGTTATTATCCGTTAGTAACTCATAATTGTTAGAGCTTAGACAATCGTAACTGCCATACTTTAACATAGAGTTATGACAATCATAGCGCTAAGATCGCTAAAAGGAACTGGGCCATGGGCAGTAGTTGTTCGGGCTGTAATTGTCTGGTCAGTCATTGTCTCGATCCAACCGATCCCATGAGTCGCATCTTGCAATAAGCATGGGTTGCTAACAGCTGCACTGGTATAGCCCCACAGTCTTACATTTCTCTGAGGCAAACTAGTGCCCCAAAGTAGGAATGTCGATTGGAGAATACAGTCAAGAGTACGATAACTAAACGCGAGAGTTGTTTCACTCTCCCTTGAACAGTATTTCAACAGTATTCATATAACTGCAGCCAAATGTGTGGGGAAGGATCAAAGTGAAGGTCGTATACCAATCTCGGTAAGACCCGTGAAGATCCGGGATAGAATAGGTCTCCAGCAACCCATGCTTGCCGTAAAAGGTGACTATGCTTGTCGTAAGGGGCGACTAACGGGACCGGGTGGTCAGGCTCGCTGACTTGGTTGATGCATGTCATCGATCCCAATTGCGTGGATCGATGTTCATGATGTCAATCACTGGATTGTCTGGTTCAGACTCGATTATTTACAGACCGCCGTCATATAGCTGGAATATTGCTGAGTGCGGCGTTAAACAACAAACAAACCAATCTCAATAAAATGAGATCTTTTACTCAGTTACTATACTTGTGTGATAATCAGACTTTGTAGACTGTTATCAGGCTTTGCTGAACCCCAAGAGCACGGATTATGGCGCTAATAAACCAAGGATCTTAATGTTTTGGGACAAGCGTAGTTTGGTGCGGCTCTGGAACGCAGTACTGAATAGCGAATTGCGGCCCCTTAGACATCGTCCAACATGCCTCGTACAGTGAACACTAGCTGAGTTTCCTGTTGAAGAACGCCACACTGTAGCCACGTGTTACATTTGAATGAAGTAGAGATTTTTAATATCATAAGTCTGCCAAGATTTATTTACCACTTAAATACTATCATGTTAGTGTCATCTTGTATCATGCTACAGGATTACATTCTCCTAATTATTGCGTGTAATACAAATCTCTATTTAAAAGATAGATTTCAAAACACTCACAAATTGATTTAATTAGAGAAACAATTCCGAATATACTTGACAATCCGATATTACGGTGGACCAGAGGGGACATGGAAACGTGTTCTACATGTTTAGAGTGTTTTGAGTTTCGCACGTATTCATTTAACTATTGCACATATTGTAGAAAATGAAATTGAAAAGGAAACTAGAAATAGCAGGAAAGCCCTCAATACTGCCAAACACTTTGCAGACCATTGTGACGTCATTGGTTACCATGACGTCACAATCAAAGGACATCACTAAGGACTCTGCTACTGAAACTGTTAGCAGTACTTTTTACACTTAAGACAAGGCTGGAAGAATGATGTTGGATGATAAATAAAATCTCACCCTCGTGTCTTTTGATATCAAATATATCAACACTCGTTGATAAAAGTGGCAAAAATCCTCGGCAAGCCTCGGAATTTTTCCACTTTTATCAACTCGTGTTGATATATTTGATATCAAAAGACACGAGGGTGAGATTCTCTATTTATCAATACACAGTGTTTTCTTGCAAATGTTTTTATAATTGACTTTACGGGGCTCTTAGATAAAATTCTGTTTTTACCATATCTGTGGTTCTATGTGTCTAAAGATTTGCTGTAACAAAGTCTAAAAACGTGTTATACACGAGTTACTTCGAAAAACACACTGTTATTGCGAAAACATTTCAATGACCCTAATGGCCCACCGTACAATATAGCTTGGTTGAATTCAACAAGGAAGTGGTTTAAATTTTAACTTATATATGACCCACATATGTTGCGGTGTCAAGAATGACCGGATACCTAATGAAAATCTTCCTTAATGGAGATATCCGCTAGCCGCCTCATTCTTTCAATTTAGGCGTGTGTGTGTGTGTGTGTGTGTGTGTGTGTGTGTGTGTGTGTGTGTGTGTGTGTGACGACCCTCGAGTTTCGAGTAAGTGTCCGTGTGTTGTTTAATACCGCATGCATCACTATTCCAGCTCCATGACACCTTTCAGGACCATTTGTTTTGTTTCTTTAATTGAAATTTCCAGATACTAAGATGTAATTTCAGGATACAGAAAATGAAATTTCAAGATTATAAATTGAAATTTCAAGATTTTATGTTTAAATTTCAAAATACATACAAAGTTGAAATTTCAAGATAATCATGTATAGTATCAACTTAGTATCTTAAAATCTTTTATAGTCAGTTAACTCTCTTGCCTCGGGAAGATGCGTGGAACGAGGCTCTGGGCCTGACAGTGCAACTAAAGTCCTTTGAATAGGTATGTGGTATGTCATGTTTTCGTAGTTTTGATTCCAACGCTGTGAGTTTTGACCTTCACACATCCAATCACTTTTGCAGTAGTTTTCATTTTTGATATTGCCTCTGAAACATCTTCTTAATAAAGATGAAATTATGTGTCTTTGTTCCAAGCAATGTCACCTCTGAAAACTTCTCACATAATTTCGATCCAATTTTAAACACTTTGCCGTTTACTGAACCATTTTGTACGGAAGCCTAAATATTTAGGGCCATTTGTTTTGGGTTTTTTTAAATAAAAAAATTCGATACTATCTTGGAGTTTCAAGAAACTAACTTGAAATTTCAAGATACAATTTCAAGTAAGCATCTTGAAATTTCAACTTAGTTGAAATTTCAAGTTACTATCTTAAAATTTCAACCTAGTATCTTGAGATTTCTAGATAATAAGTTGAAATTTCAGGAATACTTAGATGAAATTTCAAGACGCCGCACTCAGCAATATTCCAGCTATATGACTGCGGTCTGTAAATAATCGAGTCTGGACCAGACAATCCAGCGGGTGACATCATGAATATCGATCCACGCAATTGGGATCGATGACATGCATCAACCAAGTCAGCGCGCCTGACGACCCGATCCCGTTAGTCGTCTCTTACGACAAGTATAGTCGCCATTTACGGCAAGCATATGTTGCTGAAGACCTATTCTACCCCGGATCTTCACGGGTCGATGTCCTCAGGTCATTGTTTAGCTGTAGCGAGTACCAAGATCAGATTTCAACGAGATTTGAACCAATCGGAAGCACTACCGTCATGTTGTGAACCTAATTTGGGATATCAGCTCGGATATTAGAGTAACGTTGAGTAATTTACCAGAGTACATTGTTGTACGCTTCTTGTGTAAAGGTGATGTTACAAGTGTTGAATATCTCGATCTATAATACTGTGACCTTTATTAACTCAGTTTTAAGTATTTTGAACGATGACGTCTAGATTTAAATCTGCATGAGATTATATATGTTAACGCAAATCGTTAATTCGAATTATTGTAGACAATGTGAGTGAGTTGGATTTAGCGACGCTTTTAACAGTATTCCAGTTATATCACGGCGTGTCAGCTTTATGAGGGAGAAAAGCCCCAAGTGATGCAGGTCTCAGACGTTTACCACTTCGGTGAACCCCACGAGCACGGGTATGATGCTGACAAACCTAGAAACATAATCGGGGCGAACCGGGACTCGAACCCACAATCATAAGTTTCTGGCGTGCCCAAGGGACGCAACTCTGCACAGCGAATCGCGGCGCCTTAGACGACTGGGCCCCCCGTGCCCCCTGTAGACAATGTAGACAATCAAATTCAAGGTAAATGTATATCTTCACTGTGGTTTCTCTCGAACTGCGGTAGAGTCGATATTTTATAAGGTTTATCGTCCTCGGGACTTTTCCAAGCATACCAAGACAACCAAGCATACCAAGCATACCAAGACGACATTGCCAATGTAATAGAGAAATGGTTATGGCTAAGAAATTTGGATCAAAGCAACATAAACATATTTCCACTGATGCCTCGATGTCATGTAACAAGATATGTAAGTTCGAAATATCACATTTTGGGGGATATATTTAGACACTGATAACACAGCAGACGGGAATATTCACACCTCATTTTTTTGCATCGACTGAGAACGCTTCGTGGTGAAAGTTGTACTAGTGCGGACCGAGATATCATGCCGCAGTTTAACATCGTTACCCCACTCAGACAAAGTATACTGAGCTAACCAGTCCTTGTTTTATCCCCTGAATGATCCCCGGCCGTGTCATACCAAAAGGCGTTAAAAGATGGTGCAAGTTGTTACCCTGCCCAGCGCTCGGCTTTAGGCGGCTAAAACAAGGATTGGTCGCGCTTGGAGTCCGTATAATATGTTAAACTGCGGCATACGTCCACACAGTAGTATTACCAAATCACACGATATGTAAACCATTATTAATTTTACTTCAACAACCAAATCAACATGTTATCATGGTTGGATGAGGTTTTTTAATGTTTACGTACCAATCTTATCCTTAATCACTTACCGGGGGCACGGGTGGCCCAGTCGTTTAAGGTGCCACGATTCGCTGTTCAGAGTTGCGTCCCTTGGGCACGCCAGAAACCTATGATTGTGGGTTCGAATCCCGGTTCGCCCCGATTATGTTTCTAGGTTTGTCAGCACCATACCCGTGCTCGTAGGTTTCACCGAAGTGGTAAACGTCTGAGACCTGCATCACTTCGGGCTTTACTCCCACATAAAGCTGACACGCTGTGATATAACTGGAATACTGTTAAAAGCGGCGTTAAACCAAACTCACACACTCACTAACTTAATCACTTACCACCAAATATACGTATGCTTTATTAAGATTATTTCATCGAAAATAACATACGAATAAGAATTCCAAATCGAAAAACTATACCCGGTACAGCTTTTTTAAAAAAAAATGGCGGTCCCCTCACCGGATTCTATTTTTAGTTCTGATATCCTTATTCAAACTTCATTTCTGATGAAGTATAGTGTACGTATTCGGAGGTCAGCGATTAAAGAAGAGACTGGTATACAGATATAAAGAGGTACTGTATGTTTTATAGCCAATCGGAGATGTAGAAGTACGCCAACATCTTTTTTCGGGACGATCTGTAGCCTCAGTAATGACATAGAAAAAATTATATTAAAGGACGAACGGATGAGGGAATACGGTAACAGCAGCGAGCGTGGCACCGTGACCTGGTAGTGTGGGTCAGCGGCACGTCAAGGATTGGGGGAGCAACCATTATATTTTCAAAGGGGGTTTGGTGTGTGTGTGTGTGTGTGTGTGTGTGTGTGTGTGTGTGTGTGTGTGTGAAACGATTGTCAAACACCTGTTTTACAGAAGAAAGCAATACATCTTGATGTTTGTTTGTTTGTTGTTTAACGCCGAACTCAGCAATATTCTAGCTATATGAAGGCGATCAGTAAATAATCGGTCGTGGACCAGACAATCCAGTGATCTACATCATAAGCTTCGATCCACGCAATTGGGATCGATGACATGCATCAACCAAGTCAGCGAGCCTGACCACCCGATCTCGTTAGTCGCCTCTTACGACAAGCAAAGTCTCCTTTTACGGCAAGCAAGGGTTGCTGAAGACCTATTCTACTCCGGATCTTCACGGGTTCAATACTTGAATCGTAGGAAATATAGTAATGTGTACTTTTTTGAGGACTATATTAAAGTGTCCCATCAAAGAGTTCGTTTTTATTATTTATCTAAAAAAACGACAAATGAGCACCTGTTTATGTTTAACAATATAATTGAGTTTCTATATAAACATTAAAAAAAATGCTGATCTCAAACCAAACCTATCGTATAGTTCCTTCCTAACTGACCGCTGGTATTTCTTTTCATCAAGGGGCGGTCGGGTAGCCTAGTGGTTAAAGCGTTGGCTCGTCACGCCGAAGACTCGGGTTCGATTCCCGACATGGGTACAATGTGTGAAGCCCATTTCTGGTGTCCCCCGCCGTGATATTGCTGGAATATTGCTAAAAGCGGCGTTAAACCATACTCACTCACTCACTCTTCGCATCAACAATCACACTCACTCGCTTCACGCATTGTTACCTGTAAATCCCCCGGGGCTGTGCAGGAAAGGATTGTGGTAGAGATTATTCAGTGTTGCCCAATAGTGTTCGTCGGGACTGTGAGTATTCATGGTCCAAAGCAAGAAGTCTCGAGCAATCTGATTGGTCAGCGCAAACTCCAAGAAATGTCGACAGAAGGCACCATAAGCGAGACCTTTGGTGATGGTCAAGTTATGGGGAGGAGGTGGCAAGTACTGGTCCGTTTTGACCAATGTTCCCTCGGACACTGAATAACGGAAAACAAACCTCTCGAGTCTACGTCTCCTGTAGACTTCACGAATATCATTAGAACCATTAAGTTTCTTCAAAATATGAACAATTTCCAAATTTGTTTTTAAAGGTATTTCTGTCGATGCAAAATTTAGGAGATACTTCCATTTCTTGTCTTTGATTAACAGGTCTTCCATGCAGTTCAAATCTGCTCTCAGTCTGCTGAAATGGGCATAAATAAGATCTTCAAGCCTCGACGCTATAAAAACATTAGGGAAACAGTCTGTAAGCGTCTGGACTGCATCAAAGAATTCTGGCGGTGATTTCCTATCCACGTGTATACAATAGAAGTTTTGGGGCGCGTAGATAACTCTCAACAACCTCTCGAGGGCCTCAACCCCATCATGCGTCAGGATTGAGAATGCGAGAGGAAATTCAATTTCAAAGTTGGAATATGGCCTTTTGTATCCAAGAACTCTCTTAAATGCTGCACAATCCTTCGTCACCTTCAAAAACACACTTTCAGGAAACGCCGGAAATGAGAAATTATTTTTCTCCAAATATTCCTGTGAACGAGTCGTCTCGCCGACATCTTGTTTAAAAAGCTTGTCACATTGAAACTCGGTACTATGATATTGCACGTGTTCTGCGTAGCGCTGTAGAGGAGTCTGCATTACAATCTCATCTATGTGGAGTTTTGTCTTTGCGAGGAGTTCCCTTCTCACGCGCGATTGTGAAGAGACTTGTGTGAAAAGAGACAGATTTGACATCAAGTAAACCGATGAGAAAAATCCCAAGAGGAACAACAACGCACGTTTGCCCCTGAAACGGAGCATTGCCGAATACCGAAGAGAATCGTGTCTGTACTGACTACCCTGTCAGGAGCCTTGGGTTGCGATAAGCCAGTGTGCTGGAGTATATCTGGAATAGATAAATGTAACGTATTTTCAAGGCTGGAGTCTATCTGAACATTAGATTGATTGCAATGTTTCTATGCTCTTTGAAAAAAAAAACTTGTTTGGATGGAACATCTTGCTGATAAGAATTCTCCTCATCGCGATTTACTGTCAGCAAGTGGCAGAACGTGAACGCTGCCAGGTTCGTGTACCTAGGGATGAACATTTCTTTCTCGTATATGTTTTAGTGGCGCTGGCGCTGTGACGTCAGTGTGTATTTTGGTACGCATAAGGCCGATGAGTTATATACCTCAAAGTAGCGAGTGAGGAAATATCGTTTGCGCCCTGTCAACACTTTTAAAACAATTGGTGGCGGATATTTGGAGAGGGCTTGAGAGAAGAGCTTATTATATACTACCGAATCATGATTCATATGGTTGTGTCATAGTGATGGCGTTAGGTGACCTTGCCCTAATAGTATTACATGAAAGTGATATGTTAGAAAAACATATCAGTCAAGGGGGTAACCTGTGTTGAGTGCTGAACGGCCTGTGGGATGTGTAGCTCGGTTTAGTAATACAGTAAACTACGATTATAACGAACACGCTTATAACGAACTGACGGATATAACGAACTACTTTTTTGGTCCCGACTATTTGCTGTAGTTATGCTGTACATATGCTTATAACGAACTACGGTTAAAACGAACTAAAATTAGTAGTCCCTTTGAGTTCGTTATAACCGTACTTTACTGTGTATATATATATATATATATATATATATATATATATATATATATATATAAGACCCGTACAGCCAATGCAAGTCTATAACGTTTGGCACGTCTACATTACTGCAGTATCAGATAATGAAAGTCTCTGGGCTCCTTTCTATTATATTTTATAACTATAATTCAACAACTGGTTTTTTTCTGCAAAATATGTTCATTTCAGAGACTAGATGTCAGTCTACTCTACAACCCGCAGGCATGGACAGCTGCAATTTGCTCTGCGTTTTTCTGTCCACCCCCACCCTCCCTCGGGTGTAGCAGAATCCTTTGATTGTGGGTTCGAACAGACTCTCCCGGATAATGATTGCTGATTTATTTTCAGCACATTACCTGAGCTCGTTGGTTTCACCGTATTGCTAAACGGGTAAGACCTGCACTTTAGGGTTTTCCTCCCACAAAAGCTGATACACCGTGATATAACAGAAATTCCATCCAACTCACTCACTCTACACCCAAAATCTACAGGTATTTGCATATATTTTTCTAATGCGTTACTACCCTATATCTTGATAATGCCAGTAGCCCGAATTGATTACATACCATTTTACCAGTAAGCAATATTCCAGATAACGTATTGAGGGGTGTAAATAATTAACTGTAGTTCAGGAAAACCAGTGCGTGATAGCATCAGCAACGAGACGAGCTATCGGGGTTTGATGACGGCCAATCAGTCAGGTTATATATCTGAACCATCCGATCCAGTTTGACAAAGTTACACCCGATCTTTTTGCATACGGGTACCTGGGGACCTTACCTGCCCGATGCTCCTCCCTACATGGTTGATGATGCCCAATGTGTTAAGATTATACAATGTCCTTTCAAGCTGCCTTGCCCTTCCTATGCCAACTTCTGGTATATGGTCCGTTTGCTTTTTCAGAATTGGGCATTGTATAAACGTCATGTTAAAACCTGTTCAACAACGGATACATTTATTTAGTGATGAATTACCCAAAACAGACAAATGAAATTAAAACTTTCACTCTGTGGAATAAGACTTTGTGCCGGACGTGCTCCAAGCAAGACCATCAGATCATTGGCCGTCTCTTATCCGACCTTGATACAAGTGAAAATATTTTTTTTTTCAGATCACTTTATGAGATAAACATGTTATTTTACAAGATATAATGATAATCATTACCCCACGATATGGCAGTGACTGGAATGTAAGCAGACGCTGATAATCGGAAGAAAACGCTACCCCTTGCCATGTGACCAATAGACGCACACGTGTTCTAAATACAAAGATGATATTACTTGAGCAGGCAATGTGTTTCAGACAGTAATTACAAATAACCGCCAACTTCACGTCTCCCACTGGCCTCAATGGTCTGCTTCGCACTCTCATTAGACAAACAGCATCCATAGTTTCCGTAACATTACCCTAATTGACAAGATAATATTTGGTAACAATATCGAACCGTATCGTCATGTGATAAAGTATGGAATACCTTAATACATGTGTGTTGAACTTCACTATGGAATTTCCAGGTCAGAGCAGATCCCAGCGCGAGTCGACTAATGGGGCGAGTAGAGGTGAAATGAGGCGTAATGTCCCGATTAATGCCGGGTTTGTAGTGCCAGCCCACTGAGATACCATGCCGTAGTTTAACATGGATACCTCAGCACCAACACATAATACGTAGAGGGGAATATCCTCGTAACTCTCCATTCCTTAAAAATAATTGAGCAGAGGCCCCGCAGGGACCGAGGCCCATTATTTTTAAGGAATGGAGAGTTACGAGGATATCCCCTACTTAAAACTCATCCCTACTTTTACACTTTGACAAAATATTCTGTAGTTGAAAATATTTGAAAAATTCAGAGCTGCTTCAAGATAATGTACAGTTGGCAAGCAACTCTCCATTCCTGAAAAATAATGGAGCGTTCAAACAATAGAATGACGTCACAGATGTGTTTTAATGTCTCAGTGTCCTTGTTTTATCTCCTCAATGTCGAGCACCAGACAAGTGCCGACTAATGAGCGTCGATCCACGTAAGAGGCGACTAACGGGATCGGGTGGTCAGGCTCGCTGACTAGGTTGATGCATGTCATCGATCCCGATTGCGTGGATCGATGCTCATGATGTCAGTCACTGGATTGTCTGGTTCAGATTATTTACAGACCGCCGTCATATAGCTGGAATATTGCTGAGTGCGACGTTAACCAACAAACAAACATGATAGGAAGAGCTAGGCAGCGTATGTAGCTGAGTCACACACCACCCTAGACCAACTGTGCTGGGGTGAGCCATAGTGACGAGTTAGCGTACTGTCTCGGTAATGCAATCCGACCTGTGGCTTGAGCTGCCCAATAACGGTTATAGGAAGCTGACCTGACATCGTATGAGCTGTTGTCGTAAGCTTGGCTGTCCGTAAACGGTATGTGAAGGGACACGTCTATATAGCTGTGGAAGTGAACTTATGTCGCATCTGGGCCCGCATCGTTGTTTTTGCATTACTCCGGAGTAGTCGACTCTTAAATACAGTAAACTACGGTTATAACGAACACGCTTATAACGAACTAACGGATATAACGAACTAACTTTTTAGTCCCGACTATATGCTGTAGTTATGCTGTATATATGCTTATAACGAATTACGGTTATAACGAACTAAAATTAGTAGTCCCTTTGAGTTCGTTATAACCGTAGTTTACTGTAGGTACAATGCTACAAGATCAGCAACAGCAACGTACGAAAAACACGATCTGGCAATTGAACCGGCGGATCTCCATAATCCTTGCTGTCGATAACAACAGCAGGTGTAAAACTTTTCCACGGGAACACATTGACATAGAGCCTGAATGAACTCCACGTGCATCGCATCAATGGAAACGTGTTCCGTTGGACGCGGAACTTCCACTGTCTCAAAAATGCGGTGTTAATACCAGGGCGACTTTATAAACACCCTCCACAGTAAACTACGTTTATAAAGAACACGCTTATAACGAACTGACGGATATAACGAACTAAAATTAGTGGTCCCTTTGAGTTCGTTATAACCGTAGTTTACTGTATATGGATTCCCTGGGTCATACCGACAACTTGGGAATCGGGTGGTCAGGCTCGCTGACTTGGTTGATGTATGTCATCGTATCCCAATTGCGTGGATCGATGCTCATGATGTCAATCACTGGATTGGCTGGTCAAGACTCGATTATTTACAGACCGCCGTCATATAGCTGGAATATTGCTGAGTGCGGCGTTAAACAACAAACCAAACCAAACAAAAACCGACAAGTTTGTTGGAATTGGTATGTGTGAAATTGAGACATTGACTCTATTTTAGTAACCATGAAATTCTAGATAGATATACATTATGACACATCATCAAAAGTGTGCAAGGTAGGTTGGAATAACTTCACCCCAACGTGCTGGGCTGTCAGCTACAAAAAAACGTCATCCTTCTTTCAGTTTTTTGGTTTGTTGTGTAACGCCGCAACATTACAGCTATATGATGGCGGTCTGTAAATAATCGAGTCTGGACCAGACAATCCAGTGATTAATATCATGAGCATCGATCCACGCAACTTGGATCGATGACATGCATCAATCAAGTCAGCGAGCCTGACCACCCGATCCCGTTAGTCGCCTTTTACGACAAGCATAGTCGCCTTTTACGACAAGCATGGGTTGCTGAAGACCTATTCTACCCCGGAATCTTCACGGGGACCTTCTTTAAGTAATATAGCGGTATTGTTTTGTTTGTTGTTTAACAGCACAAGGAAACTCCAGCCCATTTTAATCAAAGATAGGGGTAAAGCAAGGTTGAATACTATCTCCAACATTGTTCGATCTATTAATGATCTTGAACACATACACTTTTAGAAGAACGTCTCTGTGATCACTGCTCAGTCCTTGAAGATGAAGAACACTATCTGATGTCTTGTAGATAATATTCAGATAGAAGGCCCTCCATGTTTATTTATCTTTCCTTTAAAATTAATTATTTTGAAAGCCTAATCTCATTAAAACCAGATCTTAGTTCTCGCTATCGCTAAACAAAGATCCGAGGACATCCCATTACGGGTCACTTCAGAACGAACTTTCATCCAACCAATCAGAGCGTCGCTTACCAGATCAGGAAAGTGACAGTCGGAATGTGCTTTTTTAATCATGAAACCACGAAATATTTAACACGGGGTATTCCGAACGACAGTTACGGGTTCTATAATTATATCCATACAATCTAGGCCATCTATAAGCCATTCCAGAACGTTCTTCTTATCAGTTTTAAATGTTTTAATCGAGAATACGTCAAAATATGTTTGGAAGCGTAGTCGCCAGTTTGAAAATAGTGTCGTAAAGCTCGAGAAAGCTGCCTTCTGATTGGCTAATGTCGATTTCTTGTCAGTCATTTCATTGGACCGTCAAAATTCGCGAAAGGTCGTTTTGACGTGACCCGTATTGGGAAGTCCTCAGATCTTTGTTTAGCGGTAGCGAAAACTAAGATCTGATTTTAATGAGATTGTTTGAAAGCCTTAATATCACAGAAATATGTACTCTACTTTTTCTCGAATAATGATCCTGGTAACATAGCAATAATGTGCTGTCATATATACAACTTCAAATAAATCTGAAATACTTATTATAGATAGTCCTGGTATTGGTACTTTGTATTGTTATCCTGACTTAGTATGTATCTGTTTATATAGTTTATAGAATATGGTCTCTGTTTCTAACGTTTGCGCAATAAAAATCTTGAATCTTGTATCTCTTAGCGTGATGTAGTGAGTGAGTTAGTTCGGTTTAACGCCGCTTTTAACATTATTCCAGTTATATCAAGGCGTGTCAGCTTAATGTGGGAGGAAAGCCCGAAGTAATGCAGGTCTCAGACGTTTACCACTTCGGTGAAACCCACGAGCACGGGTATGGTGCTGACAAACCTAGAAACATAATCGGGGTGAACCGGGATTCGAACCCACAATCATAGGTTTCTCAAAGGGACGCAACTCTGCACAGCGAATCGCGGCGCCTTAGACGACTGGGCCACCCGTGCCCCCTTAGCGTGATGTAGGGAGAGGTTGTCCAGTGATTAAAGCCCATTCCTGGCGTCCCACTCACGATTTGGCTGGGAAAATGCTAAAGGAGGTGTGATAGCTTTCCCACTCACGAGCAAAGTGATTGTGAGTTATCGGAAATGATATATTATAGAGATACGTAATCAGTATATTGTAGACGAGGAACACAAGTCTCTACTTTAAGGGGCGGTCAGGTAGCCTAGTGGTTAAAGCGTTGGCTCGTCACGCCGAAGACCCGCGTTCGATTCCCGACATGGGTACAATGTGTGAAGCCCATTTCTGGTGTCCCCCGCCGTGATATTGCTGGAATATTGCTAAAAGCGGCGTTAAACCATACTCACTCACTCACTCACTCTACTTTTAAACCAGATCACTTGAAATACAATCCATGTCATGAGCATGGTACAGGTCAGAACGCTCAATGATCATTTGAAAACGGAAACGCTTTGATGAAATGAAGTATGACGGGGCCAGTTGCTACTTAAGTAAAACGAACAAAGGTGATGTCAAGTGGAGACACAAGCAGAAATCATAAGTGGTCAGTGTTGGGGAATTATTGCAATTGATACAGTAAACTACGGTTATAACGAAATAACGGATATAACGAACTAACTTTTTAGTCCTGACTATATGCTGTAGTTATGCTGTATATATGCTTATAACGAATTACGGTTATAACGAACTAAAATTAGTAGTCCCTTTGAGTTCGTTGTAACCGTAGTTTACTGTACACTAAACATCTTACAGACTCAGATTACAGCTTAAACATAAGGTTATTTTCCACAGAAAGCCTCAGTGGTTACATATAATGTACATTATGTATAGGTTAGACCACGAGGACAGTGTCTAATCGTTAGAGGACCGCATCCGTGGTCTAGTGGTAGAGCGT